TCTTAGATAAGTGGATAAAATATAAAAACAAAATACAAACAAAATGTGGATGGATGTTGCATATTTAATCAATTATAGTGACATATTTACAGAGTCCCATGGGACAAAGAGAGCTACCAAAGAGTCTCATCAAACTGTGTCCCTCATGATTTGGTAACTTCTTACTTGTTGATTTAGTCATGAGTCTGTAAAAGAAAGTTACTGGTTACTGGACTAGAAGAACATCCACTCCTTTCCAGGTCTGACAGTGGGGTCCCGTGAGTGAGGGATGATCTCACAGTGGGCAGAAATGCTAAGTCCTCTTGCTCTCAGTCCTCTAATTCTCCCATTGATTTCAGGATGCTGAGTCTCTGAATTAAGCAACAGTGACCAACATCATTGTAACCACTAGCCACATTTGGAAGTAGACTCTTCTATTTGTTGTTCTCTTACTCTTGTCTCTATTAGCTTAAAGATTAACCCCATGACTGTGGTGAAAGGCAGTGAAATTTATTTAATTAGAACAAAGTGTGCATAGCCAACTTTGGGGCACACATTCTTCTGCAGCCTGTTCTTTCTTTGATAGTTAATCTTCCCTTTTATCTGAAGACAATAATTAAAAAGAAAGCAGTTTAAAGAGAACAGCAAATGAAGCACAATTCTAGTGGTTTTAATTGAATTTACCTAACAATTTAAAGGAAGTCTGAGAACATGAGTAAGCAGAAAAAACAAAAATACAATGACAAGGTCAAGAGGAAGACTTGGCATCTATGAGTAATGAATGTTTTTGTTGAATAAACTGTTAGGTCTATATTTTATTAAGTAAATTATTATATGTATTATATATCATTAAGCACTTGTAATCAGAGGATCTTGCTAAGCAAATGCTATTTTACTTACTAGAATAATATGAGTGTGTAGTTGTCATTAATCCATTTTAGTAAAACATAAATAGCAGTTTGGAAATTTGGAGAAAAGTTTCCCTAATCCCACATTCAGTTAGTTCTGATGAGTTCATCTAAACCTAGTAGTTGGGCTCCAATGTCCTGATTATCAACAGCCACTCTTATCTACTGGATGGTGACTGTACCAAGAATATTTGAGCCTTAATCAAAATGATGGCTATTGTTAGAGTTGAAACCATTATTCAAGCAACAATTTGACTCCAAAGTTATGCTTTATTGTATAACTTCACTTTGAAAAGAAAATGAAATTTCTCTACAACTAAGTGACTTGTTTCTATTTAATTTTAAGCAGTGTGCCCTCATGTCACCAGAAAGTTGATGATCTGGAGAATCCCTGGAAAGAATCCATGGCTACAAAGCCTGAATGAGTGATTAGGTTATAAATGGTATTGAGAGATTGGAATTTTGCAAGTCCACAGAAAAATTCCCTGGGAACATTTTCAGGCTCCTTACTAGCCAGTTTTGCCCTCCTCTGAACATATATCTTTGTAACCATGGGGTAACTCCTTTGGAATGTGAGAACAGACCTCCAGTGTCACTAACGAAAAAGCTGAGCAGGTTATCAGATAGCATCTTTGGCCTACAACACATCTTTCCTCACTTTCCATAACCCATCTACATGGTGTACCTACCAATGTGTTTGAGAATGTGGTGTTTTATGACTGCCGTTGTTCTGTTACTATAAAAGGCTCATTAAATTGCTATTTTATTGAAACACATTATGTGGGGAGTCTGAATCTGAGTTCATGGGTAATGTTATTTCTATTCAACCCAGAGTGTACCCTTTCTCTTGTTCATTTGAGGTGAGAGCCGTTTCTATCATCATTAGTTTCCTATGACTAAGGGACAGAGCTCACATGAGTGGGATGAGAAAGACTTCCTTTAGGAACACATATAGCACAGACATGGATGTCCTCTACAGGACATAGCTGTCTCTATAGTTGGCCAAGGAAAAAATGGTGTGTGTTCCCACTAAATGTAAATACCCTTGTCCTGATTAGAGTAAATAATCAAACATTTAATTTACAACCCTTTCCCCCTTCAAACCATTAATGTCTTTTGCCTTTTCTCAGTCAGTAACATTGAATTTCATGTTACTTAGCTTTCCTTAGGTGGCTAAGAGAGCATCAGTAATCTGATGGAGTTAAGCATGCTGTAATTTTGTGTTTCCATCAACAATGAATAGGAAAACAAAAGCAAAACATGGTAGATAAACACAATAAGTGATTGTCATGAATTTCTGTCATGTAACTTACATAAAGGTTTGATTGGACAATATATGAAATACTGGTGAAGGCCTGGGTATAAGATACCAGTACTGTCAGTGTTAAATTTTTCACCATGAGATAATTACATTGTGCTTTTGGAATGAACAACTATATTTCCAGGACTAGAGATGTAATCTGAGCAGAGTTTCTGATATCTACAGAGTTTCCTACAGGGAAATAGGTCTTTGGGTAGAGAATGGGACTGATAGAGTCAAGACTAGAAAATACTTAAATTAGTAAGCAAATGGTGTGGAAGAGCTCTTTTCACTGCTTTGCCATTGCCTCTACAAGCTAAAAATTAGTTAAAATAATTTTAAAAGTTAGTTACTAGCTTAAATAATTCCCGTGTCTTTAAATATTTTCCTGATGCTGAAGAATCATCCTTGGGTAAATAACTTTGAAACAAACAAACAGAAAGTCAAACCATACTCCCAGTACTAGGTGCAATTGCTCATAGTTCATTCTTTTCAGGAAACTATTGAACACTGAGCCAGGGTGGGTGTTGGGGGTCTCTGCACGTGCTTTAGTGTAGATGCTACATGAGATGAGGAATCAAAGTTTCCAGTGATTGGGAATTGTTCCACACAACTAAGGTTCAAAACCATTTTCCCCTTTGGGATAAGTCAGAACTGAAGAAACAGTTCAGAAATTTGCTTTAGAACAGCTTGTGGTGTGTGAATTTCAACAATGAAATAGTCAACATTAAAAACAGGCTACTGGGATTCACAAGAAAGTTAAGAGGATAAAATAGGCAGAGAATATGGGGAAAGGAGCTTTTTAGGTAATCACTTTTTTTTCTGAATTACAGGTTGAAGCAGCTAAGAGCTCTACCTTAAGTCAGTTGTTTTGTGTTGGTATTAAGAAATAATCAAGTAACCACCATTCACACATTTCAAAAATAGTTTCAGAAGCAAATGTCTTTTAAGAAGAATAAAGGAGAAATAAATATACATAAATGAAAAGAGAACTTCTGTGAGACTAAACATTGGATAACCTGTTGGTGAATGCTAATTTCTGCCAGTTAGTTTGGTATGTGTGAAGATGAAATTCTCTTAGTTGCATAGACATTGTAGACAACAAGGTGATATTTATAGCAGTAAGATTAATTTTTCATAAAGTCATCCATACATGAGTTAATGAAAAAAGTTTTAAGAATTATTGCTAGTGTGGTTTTCATACAGTTAATAAAACACAACGTCCCGACATATAGCAGAAGCTAGTACAAAGCAGAGAGTTTTTTGTTTAATCCTGTAATGTCTTATTTACACAAGGAAGGCTTGATTTTTCAAATATTGAAACCTGCTTCTGGCTTTTGTCTTGTTCTTTGCTCAGCCTTCTCTGTGATACATGAGAAGTGTTCTGGTGGTGCATTGCCACAGTAGTCACAAGACTGCCTGCTGACAAATTTACTCATGGCCCAAACACAGTTTGGAAAATATAGGATTTGGTTTTGGTTTAAGAAAATAAAAATCAAAAGAACAATAAATTGAATGAGAATAAAATAAAAAGCAAATTCTCACTCTCTGTTTTTTTTTCTGTTTTTAGTGATCAAACACCTTTTCATTTCTCCAGATTTCTAAATAGTAGTAATTATGTTGTGAATCTTACACTAATTATAATGATGGCAAAACTAATACGTTTATGTAAGTCCGAGGATCTGAAAATTGGAGTTGTAATGACTTAGGTGTCTGGAGTTACTGACTTTTGCTGATTCTCACACTACTGTGTGAAGACGGCTATCAAAGTGTCATGCTATCACTCTCACGGTGTCTGCTGCACGGCCATGATGAACTATTTTATTTGTATTCCGGATCTGGAAAGTGTTGGTCTAGAGATCCATAATTTTAAATGTTAAGTCATTTAACTGGGACAACTTTAGGCTACAGACACCAAAGCACACAAAAGTCTTGTTTTATTTGCATCCACCTTATGCTCCACATGGGAGCACAGGCCAGAAGGAGAAGGTCCTGGTTGGAGGGAATAATGGCAGTGTGGGCTTACAAAGGGCATCATGCCAGAGACTTCTTTGATCTTCAGAATGCTCCCTCCTCCAGCAGCTTCTCTTTCAATGCTAGCAAGGACAGCATCTTCTAACAAGGCTTCCTGAATACACTTGGTGTTAAATGAGACAAGCAGAAAAGCAAGCTCATTGCTAAAATAAATAAATAAAAGCAAGCTCATCATAAAGCAAAACTAAGCAGTTGGAGGACTTCTCCGATTCTGTAATATAAGTTAAGTATAGACTTGGAAACTACAGAAAAGCAAGTGTATAGAATGTTTCTGCTCTTTTTTCCCTTTGTGCATTGAAAATTAGCTTATTGTTAAAATTCATATCTAGTCAAATTCCTAATCCCAGTCCCCTCAGAATTCATCTCTACATTTTTGCACTTTACTGAACCCGGGTTTTCAAAAAGCCTCATTTCCATTACACACTCCCTTCTTTTGCAATGTCAGGACGATGTGTTTGTTTTCTAGTAAACTACCTTGAGATAACAGTTGTTACATGTTATAGTGACATGGCACATCTGCTCAGAAAATTGAAGACGTTCAGCAATACTTATCAGTTACTAGTCATGTTTGTCTCAACTATATATAAATTATTTCAAGGATCATTCTGAAAAGTAAATTTTTCCTAGAACATTAAGAGTGGCAGATTGAACTTTTCGTTCATTTGTTTTTGTTTTGCATCATTGCATGTATTCACTCAATTTGATACTGATTTTGAGTCACCAGTAGAGTTCATCACCATAATCCAAATTTACACCAAAATAATTCCAGACAAGCAAAATCATGCAAGGGTGCCTTTATTAAGTTTTGCATTCTAATTCCAGCTAGATTCACCGCACTCAGAGGGGACAACCACAGGGAACAGAGCAACTTACTCTGCGGTCATTGTGCAGATTGAGTAATTCAAGGAGTCACTGAGGGACAGAGCTTAAACCACAACTGGTCCTCCTTACCAGGTAAATATTCTAAACATTCTACAATGGAAATCAACTGACCATGACAGAGTCACAGAGAGCTTGCACCTAAATCTATCCTTTTAATCTATGGTATGAATTGGGTTCCCATATTAGAAGGCCAATGATTCTTTTAGATTAAGCTACAAGTTTTCTACAGGTGACATTAGTACTGATGAATCGCTTACGTTTAAGAAATCAATAGAGGGAAGAGTTAAATGAAAACACCACTATACTGGTGACTATAGGACATGTAGAGTCATTGTTGAAGGTTTTCTCTTCACTCTTCTGGCTTCTTTAGGAGTTCTTCTGAGAGATTTTTATGGCAACTGTCTTGAGCTCAGTGTATTCATAAATACCATGCTCACCCCTAGAGAGAGGAGAAAAATTACTATAAACACGATAGCATACTGCAGGGTATGCTTATCTGAGTAGGGACAATGTAAAATATTTATTGAACACAGTATAGTTCATATACGTACCTACTTATCATAAGCTTTATTATGACCAAATATAAACTCCCCGGTGGAGAGCAATATTCTAAAATATCTTTTATTTTCAAGACTCTGTGCTTTGTTTATTTTCACAGAAAATATTCATTGTTTACATTTTTTACTTGACCATGTCACCATGTGACCATGTAGCCAAATCATAATTCAATTGGTCAGGTTTTGTCAGATCAACAAAGAAGAGAGTTGTAGTTCATGTTGTACCCTATGTCACTGAAGACCAACAGAACAAACCATCAGCTGTACTAGATCCTGCATTCTTCATCTGCACTGTCACAGAAATGGTGAGAAGATTGAAGATGACCAGGATCCACTTTGAGTCAGTAGAAGCTGTAGTTTTAACAGGATCTTTCTATTCTTGGCAAAATAGCCACCTAATCTTTCCTGGCAGAGTTTTCTATCTTTTGTATTGACTGTATATAATTTTAGGGAGAAAATAAACCAAAGACTGTCCTGACTCAGACTTTTGGGATTTTGGCAGAGGTTGTCTTTCTCTATTAATCAGCATTATATAATACCCTCAGGAAACTTTTATGTCTATAGTAAGTGAACAGCAGCTGAGACAAGTATATCTGTAGGTACCACAATAATTTTGACCCCAGATCAATTTTGGAAATTGTGGTTTCTTTCCACTTAGTGGATAATTCATCTAGGAAGATTGTACTCAGTTATGTTCTGCATTGTTTTGGTGAGAAAATAAAATTACAAGCTCATAGGACCATTCTCAACATTATAACACCTATGCACACAGGTTTGCAGAGGAGCAGGATTTTGGTCCTTTACCAGCACTACTCCTGAAACCCTTATCCTGTGTATGTACTGGGTCTTTTATTCTCCTCAGAAACACAATCTCCTTACATTGATTATTCTGTGGGTAATTAAAGCTTTGAAAATACCTTTCAAAGGATTCAATGAGAATGGTTTTTTTCACAGTAATTAAAGGACTTCACCTCAGCTCTCTAAATTCTATTAAAAGATAGTATTTTAATAAGTGTTTCATCTCAAATATGTAGATAATTTAACCCATGATTTTGACCAAGTTGTTTCTATTTAGAGCTGTAGTCTTACTAGTAACTAATTGGAGAATCATATGTGTAATCGTGATCACATTGAAGCTGACACTCTTAGGTTCTTATGCATGTGCAGTTTCCAAGACAGAAAACAAGAACATCTGTTTACATGTCTTTTTAGCTTAGAAAGACTATGCCTTATGCCTTACTAGTCAGCACTCTCCAGACACTACTATCTCTGTGCTTCTAAATCCTTGCTGCACATCAACTGGACCTTTTATTGCATGCTGCCGATCCTCGTGCCCAGCTCCAGATAAGCTCTGGGACTGCATTTTCACTAAACTTCTCCATGGTCTCATGATTCTCATCACAGACCATGTAATGCGTGAAAAGCTTTAGCAACAGACCATGTCTGCTTTCCCTTCTGTGCTGAGAAATTAACTTCAACAAGTCTCAGAGAAACAGCTGGAGTTGACAAGGAAAAGTTGACAAGGAAAAGAATAAATCATTCTAGTTCTTGTTTTAAGCACAATGTGTAAGAATATCTTCCTATCACATCACTAGACTTTGTTGATTCCCTGTGGCAGGTCTCACCCTCTCTGAGGAATGGATGAGGGGTGGGTTGGGGAGGATGTGAGGGAGAGGGGACAGGGATTGGTGTGTAAAATAAGATTGTTTTAAAAATAAAAAATAATAAAAAGAAAAAATCTCCCTGTTTCCACTTTTATTAATTGACTGAAGAAATGAATGCCCTGTGAAGTACAGAGAGTGATTAAATTTGGAACATGCCCAAGTGAAGTGAGCAAAAATATGGAAGTGAATAGGATTACAAAGAGCTAGATTTTCACCACTCAATCTTTTCCAGTGCCACCACTTACCACAGATCCAGAAATCAAAGTATGAGCTCCCTGGATTACCACTGAACACATTGGGGAACTATAGATGCCCAATTTTGGCCTCTGTTTCCATCTGGGTTAATTCCGCCTTTCTGCTTTTTTTTGCTTTGTTTTGATACAGGTTTCACTGTGTAATCCTAGAGAGCCTGGGATTCATTATATAATCCTGGATGACCTGAACTTACACATGAAGACCATGCTTACTTTGAAATCAGAGATCTGCCTGACTTCCTACCCCAAATACTAAGACTAAAGAATAATTCATAATCCTATCTTGGAGTCCTTACAGATGGTTGTTTCAGTAATTCTCTGGTGATAGTTTGCAGTAAATGACTCTGTTTAACACATGTACATGTTATTAGGTAAACTTCACTAGAAGGATATTAGTTTAGGATAAGGCAACATTAATTCTCTCTCTCTCTCTCTATATATATATATAATGTATATATATAATTTTTCCACATTTATTTAAATGTCTCTCTAGATTATCAGTTTATTCTTTTATTTTTGGAAAATGATTCTCAAATGGCTTAGAGTCACTTATATCGTAGGTAATCCTAAAAGCAAACAACAAGCAGCTACCAAGATGGGATACTTAGCACCGTCCTTAATGGACAGTAAGATCTTAACAAAGTATATTCCTTCTGCTATTACTTTTCTGCACTTTTGGAGTACTTCCAAAATTTTAAATGTTATTCTGTGTACAAAACTCCAAGGAAGAATGCAGGCATACTTCACTTTGGGTAATGAAAATGGAACAGCCTCTCTGGAGTGACAACCTTTTTCACAAAAATATGCTTGTAATACAAAGTTTTACTTACAGTTCACGTCCATTTCCAGACATCTTGAATCCACCAAAGGGGCACTGGGCTGACAACATCATGTAGCAATTTACCCTTAAGAAAATAAGAGAAGGGCATTATAGACAATACCTAACTTCCCCATAATTCCAAAGTTGGATATGAAAAGAATCAGAGGTCTCTTTAAAAAATGGCATCGTTTAGTATAATCTACCCATTGGGATGAGAGAAAAAAAAAAAGCAGTGCTGTAATTTTGAATGCAGAAAGCAAACATGTGTATCAACAACATAGAAACAAATAAATGGTACCGCTCTAAGAGTAAATAGTTTTGTTTGCTTGTTTGTTTTGGTTTTTCGAGACAGGGTTTCTCTGTATTGCTTTGGAGGCTGTTCTGGAACTAGCTCTTGTAGACCAGGCTGGCCTCGAACTCACAGAGATTTGCCTGCCTCTGCCTCCCAAGTGCTGGGATTAAAGGCGTGCGCCACCACTGCCCAGCGAGTAAATAGTTTTAAAGCAAGATTTGTCTGAATTACAACAGAGGGAAGAACCAATATGCCACGAAAAGCGTATCTATTTTGTTGGAGTCTGGGGTTTGTCTGCTGTTCTTTGGTAGACAGCTTTGTAATGCTTATGTAGTTAACAAGGCTAAAATCAACCCTGTTTAGCAGTTGCAGGGAGTGTCAAAATACATGGTTGGTATCATTAATTGATCAATATATTGCTTTCTCAAAAGTGTTGGCAGGAATTGGACCAAATTAGCAATTTTAATCAGATTTTGTAGAAAACATGAAGTGTTTCTATAGAGAAATACATTATAAAAACATGATTAGAATTAAAGTGAGCCTCAACAGAAGATCAAGGCAAGAGTGTAGTTTTGCAGACAGTAAACAATTACTCTATAGAAATTGTAGTAGAGAAAGTGGTGCTTTATGGGGCTGTTGAGTTTTGTCAGATGATGCAGAAAACATGCTATTTAAAGTACATAGTACACAGTAAACCTTCAGTAAGTGTGGGTGATGAACATATGTGATATAGTAACTCTGAATTTACTTGTATGCTTATTATATGAAAAATCTGTATTAATCAATAGTCAGATATATTCTACAATAAAAGAATTTGATTGATTTCATTGTCAGAAAATCAACCATAATTAAAACAACAGACTTTAGCCTGGTGCTTAGTGCTAATTGTATAACAACATTACAGGAAAGTTTAAAAAGTGCTCCTTATGGGGGTGTGCATAGTCTGTCATTTCATCCAGGGCAGGGCCTAGATCCTCCCTCAAGAGTACAGGGTGAGATGCCCACATTCAGGGGGTCTTGATCAGTCCCATGCTGGATTCCCAGTCATCAGTCTGGGATTCAAGAGCTAACCCCTGTCAGGTCAGCTGTTTCTGGAGGTTAAACCAGCCTAGTCTTAACCCCTTTGATCATCAGTCCTCCCTGTCTGTCACTGGGTTCCTTGAGTTCAGCTCAGTGATGAGCTGAGGGAGTCTGCCTCTGCTTCCATCAGCCATTGGATGAAGGTTCTGGGGAAATGAGGGAGTATTAGGGGGTTGGTGGGAGGGCATGGGAGGAGGGAAGGGAAAGGGAGAGGGAACTGGGATTGACATGTGAAGCAACCTTGTTTCTAATTTAAATTTAAAAATAAAAATTAAAAAAGAAGTGCTCTTTAAAAGAACTATACCCAGAGTCAATCCCTTGATATATTTTATTGAGATGATTGACTAATATCCTATACATTCAAAATAATGTTACACATACTTATTTATTCATTAACTAATTCATTTACAAATTTATTTAGTGAATGCATGTATACTTTTTTCTGTGCATGTGTGTGTATGTAGAGACCAGAGAGAAACACTGGATGTCTTCCACAATTGTAGTCTTATATTTCATTAATTAACTTTTTAAATTACACTTATGTTATAGTCATGGGTAATATAAAATTCATGATTTGTTTTTCAAACTATTCTTTTAAAATTCATTTTAATTTTTTGTGAATTTTATAATTTTTTGAGAACTGTGTTCATATCATTTTCATCCTTCCTTCTAAATAAATATATCTTATCAAGACCATTCAGTGTTTTTATATGTGAAAACAGGCCTGTTTGTATCTGGATAACCTGTCAGGGGCCCCGAGAACACTGATTCTCCCTCAGTCTTATTTTCTGAGACACAGTCTCATCAAGCCTGGAGTTCACCAATTCAGTTGGATTGGCTGGCCAGCAAACTCATGGGAAACTCCTGTCTGCCCAGTGATGAGTTACAATCATGCATCAAAGCTTCCAGGTTTTTATATGGCTTCAGATAATCTGAACATAGTTTTTTATGTTGACCCATGCAGCACTACTAGGTGAACCATTGTCCCAGGCCCAGGTTACCTATATTTAAACTCTCAGATGATACAGACTGGGTATCCATTATCTTAAGTTCCAGAGGTCACAAGTGCTTCAATTTTGAAGTTCTTCAGATTATGAAATGTACACATATATTTTATTGGTTGAATATCCCTATTATTTTTATGGGTATATGAGAGTTCCTGGGTATATGAATGTCTACCATGTATGTAAAGATATATTTGAATAAGTCAAAAAACTATATCAGGTCACCTGGAACTGGATTTCTAGGTGATTATGAGTAGCCCAACCTGAGTTCTGGGAGCTGAGTTTGGGTCTTCTGCAAGAGTAGGAAGTTATCTTAATTGATGAGTCAACTCTCCAACTCCATTCCCCTATTTCTGTAAAGTTTATTATTTATGTTTTTATTTAATGTGTATATTTGTGTGCCTGATTGTAAGATGACTTATTAGAGGGTGTGATGACCTGACTCTCACTCCACTAGTCATCTCATGGTCTCGATTGAGTTCCTTAACCTCAGCAAGTTCCTGGTTTTACCACAGATATGGCTAATAAATAGTAGTTTCAGGTCAGCTTAAATGATGAATATAAGAAACACATTGCAACTTTTAGTTAATAGTGACTAACGGGTGACTCCCTTTGATAGAAGGAAAGATTTTTAAAGTGATCAAGAAGGTTAAGAATTACTTGGTCATGTTTTTAGGATGTCTGATTTTCCTTAACTGGACTGGATGAAAAAATGGAAATAAGCATTGTGCTATTGCCCAGACACAGGGAAGGGAGGTTTAATGAGAAAAATGCTGCTGAGGAAATGCTCCAAGGTATAGAGTGAGCTTGGCAAAGCAGCACTTTGAGAGGCACAGCCTGAGAATCATCTAAGTTAAACCATAAAATCAAAGAGCAGACTCGGTCAAAAGTGAGAGAAAATTACTTCAAAATATTTGTTATGGTCTTCTAAAAAATGACATCTCAAAAAATTCCAGAGTGAGAATCTACTATAAAAAAAACAAGAAAAAGGAATCATTTACTATACAAGCTGATTACCACCTTGCCTGGAATGCCTACCCATAATCCCAGTTATTCTTGAAACTGAAGCAGGAGGAAGACAAGTTCAGGGTTATTCTGGACCAAAGAGTGAGTTCAAAGACAGACTCAGCAACTCAGTATGTTCAAGTCTAACACACACACACACACACACACACACACACACACACACACACACACACACACACAAAATCTGGAGACAGGGCTGAGGGACAGAGTGCTTGCCTACACTGCAAGGCACAAGATGCATTATTCATTGTGGAAAATAATAATGACAACAATAACTTTTGACATACATAAAGCAACAAAACAGTATCTAACATAATTAAACTTGGACAAAACAATTTTTTATTTTATCTTCATTGTTCAAAATAGTGCCTCATGCCTTGAAATTATCTAGAAATTCTTACAATATACAGAGTAACATTCATAAAAAGTTTAGACAGGTAACTTGAAATAGTTGGATAAAGTTAATTTGGCTTAAAAATTAAGACAATTAACTTTCTTAGTTGGTCAGATAATTTCTATAAATATCAAGTCTGAAGGGGATCAATCCAGCCTGTCCTTGTGGCTGATTCAGGAAGGCACACCTTACTTCAGACGCACTTACCACACTACCCCAGCCTGCAGAGCAGAAGACACGGTGATGGCCTTATCCAGGTCTTTCGTGAAGACTCCTGCTGCTAGGCCATAGCTAGTATTGTTCGCTCTCTTGATCACATCATCTAGAGATTTAAATTTCATGATCTGCTGCACTGGTCCAAATATCTACATAGAAGACATAAAAACAGGTTTACACTACATACACTACATATGCTTCCCTAGAAGCCATTTTACATGGACTAAAGTACTATCTCTCACTTCAGTCCTATGTGTAAGGTTCATAACAGATAGCCACTGCCAGTGAACATGGAAACATGTGATTGTGTGTGACATTCTCTGTGAAGCAGACACCAATCATGGTGGCAGATTTGTGCTGTGATAGAGCTGTCCAAAATGTAAGGACTGAACATTGAATCACTAAGTGCATGATTTCCTTGGAAATATCTTCACAGTTAATTCCAGTTTTCTTCATTGTTCAATTTACTGCACAAGACAACATGACCATAAAAGCAGTCCTTTGCTCTAAGAATAACAAGTAGACCATGATTGAGAGTATTGCTTATGCTTTCAACACCAGTGTATCGTTTATTTAAACATCAACCTTTCTACTGTATTTGTATCATTTCATAACTATAAATATTGTATAATATAGCAGATGTTAATCCCTAGTGTCACTCAATATTATACACCATTACTAAACTCTGGAACCACTCCACACTTAGTAAAGCTTGAGGTCCCTGGCAGTGACTATCATCAGACTTTCTTACTACAGTGTTAACAGTCTTTCATTTCTGCTGGAATCTAGTCAATTATACCTACACACAACTCAGTCTATGTCTCACCCCACAATTAAGAAGAAACAACTGGGTTTTCTTAGTGATACTATACTTCTGTCCTTTGAAAAGATATTAGTAAAAATTAAGTAAAAGAAAGGATTCTTGGAATGTTGGTACACTTTCCTGGGAAATATAAGCATGGTTGGCAAATCTCAGAGGTGTCAAAATGTTTTCTGGTCCCAAGTCAATTTGTGTGGTATGGGGTAGTTAGCAGCAACTTCCTGAAGGCTAGTGATGATTCTGGGGTTCTAAACTCTCTCATGACTCTATAACTGGGAAGCATAACAATGCAAACACTGTAAATGGAAATCAACTGGAGTAGGACTATGGTGGGTTTGCTAAGAGCTGTAGCAACTTAGCCTATACCGTATGGGCTCCAGGCTCCCAATCTGAAGCAGAAAATGATATATTCTAGTGAGCACAATATAGGAACAAAATCTTCCTTGAATGAGTATTATTTTCTGTTTTATTGTCATACTTACCCATGTTAATCAAGGTCTACAAAAACAAAAGCTCTGATCAAAGAAGAACTGGCTGATAAGCACAGAAATTCAAAAGCAGTTCAAGAGTGAACTTATGCAAACAATCTAAGTGTATTGGACTATCCACATACATGATATTTATTTCTGTCATTTATATTTATTTCTGCTTGAACAGCTGAATATTCTCATTTTCTCCTTATTTGCTGACACTGTGGAATAAGAAAATAACCTCTCTGTCGTATCAATTACATGAATATAAATTTATGGAATGGGGAAATTACGGTTCTGTAGAGTTGAGTCATTGTACTTTCTTATTGTAGTGTAGCACATAGCAATTTCATTGTTTAAGGCAAATGCTCTTATCTCTGCATATAGTAAAAGCCTTCATAATCAAGATGTACATTAGTAACTATTTTAATTGCTAACTAGTTCTGTTTAGTTTATTGGTTGCCATCTTATCACTCCTTCTTAGAAAGCGCTCCACAGAACTCACTTCCACTTCCTTTTACAAAGACCGTTCACTCTGCCTCTGTGAGGATGACTTTTTTAGTTCTTTTCTATAACAGATCATTCAGTGTATATTGTTGAGTGCTGACATATGAACACAATGCTGTGCACATTTGTTTCTGTTTTTACAAATTACAGAGTCATTTCCATTCCTTTAAGGCTGTGACTAAGCACATAGAGAAGAAGCTGTTGTGGAATTTGTTCTGTGTTTGATATAAACTGTTTGTAGCCCACTGCATTCCTCACTGCTCAGTCTTGATCACAAATCACTTTAGACTTTTTCATCAAACATTTTAGGGGAATGCTGTTCAAGGAGCTGAGGATTTTAGAGGGACACACAGGTTACACACAGAAGAATATGGAAGGCACAGGACCATTACCTCCTCTTTGGCAATGCGCATATCATCAGTAACATTGGAGAACACTGTGGGCTGGACAAAGTAGCCCTTGTTCCCCCAGCGTCCACCACCACACTCCAGTTTGGCTCCTTCTTTCTTCCCACTCTCAATGAGATCAAGTATTTTATCATGCTGTTCCTTGTCAATCTAGTTGAAAGAAATCACAGGGGAAAGGGAAATAAACAAACAAACGAAAAACACTAAATCAGTGGTTCACAAGCTGTTGGTTGCAATCATAGGAAAACACTTGTTTTTTATGGTCTTAGGAACTTCAGCCTCAAATTTATTTTAATTGCTACTTCATAACTGCAATTTTGTTGCTGAGTGGTATCTCAGTTCCTTAGACAACCAGAAATATGTGTTGAGAATCACTGCATTAAATGACTCCCACATCCAGGACACTCTCTTAAGTTTGATAGTTGGGCAGGGGTTCTGCTCAGTCTGCATATTCTCGGGTATATTTTTCTTATGAATTTTTCAGGAAGGAAAGTTTAAGGATTTGTAAACTTAGTACATTTACAAAACATAGCGATTAGCAAGGTATAAATATATGGACTTTTAACACAACTGTCATTTATTCCCTTGGAAAAAATTTGTTAATGATTTAGCACATACACCTGAACAAAACCATGATGAGAAAAGGATCACACAGTGGGTATGCCAGCTTAGTAGCAGCTGCTTTTGACTGTAGGAGACCTTTATTCTTCAGAAATGGAATCTGCCTATTCTTGGGTCGTGTCTACTGGTTTGGCTGCCCTTTCATTCAGTGTATAATCACAGGTTCGGGTCTTGCTCCATTCAATGCAGTAGTTGCATCCCAGTTTCTAACAAGAATTTATTATCATGCTCCTGTTCCATTAAATGAGCCATGTTAAATAATATGACCGTTATCACAGAAGTATCACGTTTTAAGTAGTATTTTTCATAAGAATTAAAAAGAGATCTGATTTCTGGTTGGCAATATCAGAATTACTGAATGCTAAACTCACTTGCTGAGACATAAAGGTTTCCAATTACCCTAGTTTTCATAGAAGGGGGAGGTAAATCATTAAGTGTTGGATTCAAGATCATTTGTGCAAACTGCCTGCTTGAGGTGTGACTGGGTTCACATAAATGGAACAATTAGAGACCAAGGAACTAAAAAGAGGGTGTCAGATTTGGAGCTGGTTTATTTTCTATCTTGGAAAACTGTCATTCTTTTCATTGCTGGAGTCTGCCAATATTCTCTGTATTCAAAGGATCAGAAAAGCCTGCATGGTGTGCTTTCTAACTGCACTTATCTCTGACTATCAGTCTCTACATTTAGTTATAATAAATGCTATCTGCTATCATATGCTTCTTGAGATAAGTTGGCAAAGTGTTTGTCAACCTGTTGCTCCAAAATGTTCAGTGTGAAAAACTCAAAAGAACATTCATCAAAGATAATCTCTTCATTCGTTGTCTATTGTGCAATTCCAGGGGTTGGTTTAAAAGCCAAGACACTGATGTTACTACATACAATATAACCAGGCTAATGTAGATATGTCTAACTGAGATATTCTGGAGTTAATGTTCAGTCAGGCATCCTTTAACTCCATGAAAGTCTTCTCTGTCCTATTCTCAGTTTTTTTTCAGGGTATGTCCTGAAAGTCACTATTTTTCAGTTGTTTTTTTCAAGATACATTTCCCAACTCATAGTGCTCCTCTGCCTTTGACCAAAAAATACCCCTAGGGAATCCAGTCCTTGAATATTTACTTCAGAATCAGGGAAGGCTAAGGTATATTATACTAGATAATGGGACTAATACCAGTATATCAGAACACACAGTCTACAAAATGGCAAATGTCACTATGCTGTTATAATGGTGTTAAAATGTATGTTTTTATTTTTTCAATGTGAGAATTTTTTTAATTCTTTAGATTTTATGTGTTAGAAAATCATATAAACCAAAAAGACACAAGTTCATCCATGGAAATCATATGTTCATACCTAGAAACTAGAGATCATTGAGTACTTTGAGGATAGACATACAAATGTCTTATTATTTCTAAGAAGAGAATGGTTATACTTACACAAAATTGTCATCATTATTACTATGAATAATTGCTATCATGCATAGAGAGATTTAATTGGTATTTATGTCTATACAATGAGATAAATACCATGCTGGATATATTATGCAATTTATCTTAGTATACTATATAATGAATCCTCAAGATATATACTTCTATCACTACTTAATTAACAAGAAAATTGAGTGGAGGGAAGTTCATATGCTTTTTTGAAATGAAAATACTGATCATTTTAAGCTTGTATGAATGCATTTGGGTCCATGAGTTTAAATAAAAGTATTACTTTATAAATGAAGAAAATATGTGTATATGAATTCTCATATACAACACAATATAAATGATAATAAATTATATGTAAATAGTATACACACAATATATAGTATAGTATAATACAATAATCTGCTTTTAAACTGAAATGCTTGCAGTTTGTCATCTTTAAAAGGAGAAAAATAGCTATTGTAAAATATTTTCCTAAACAAATGTGTTTAGTCCTAATTTCCCCTAAAATTATTTTTGTTGTAATATTTATGACACTGTTTAAAAAGTCTCAGTGACTCAGCCAGCCATGGATGAAACATTACGCAAAAGTTGGTCAATGTGTAACTCTTCACATAAGATTTTTCTTATTACAGACAAAAACATAGGGTAGAGAAAACTGGGGTTTCCTCAAGTTGTACTTGTCAGCATGCCTGCCTGTTCTCTGTCTCCAAAGTAACCTCCTTTAAAAAGTTATGCACTAACAGAGAGTAGAGTCATGCGATAGTCAATTAGAATATGGGATTGTTCACTTTAGAATGTTACAATTCAGAATATTTTAAGTTTAGCCTATAAATGATAAGGCATTGCTACTCAATTGAAGGCTATGACTGAATAACACAGACCCCTTGATGAAATAAAATAATGACTATTGTTCAATGTGAAGGGTTTCAGATAATCTCTGCTTCTCTATCCTTTGTCATCTAAGGACATTCCTATCATTTGTCTATTTATTCATCTATCCACATATCATGTATACTTATCCACCTATATAACGATAAGATGGTTTATATTTGGATAGTAGACCAATATACATTTAGGAAGTGATCACAGCAAAATTACTAATAATTACATCATTTTTAAAAATATTAGACCAAATAGGGATTTGAGAATTAGCAAATATGAAAATGAGCAACTATCTTTATACACTCACTGAAATTAATGATAAACATATATAATGAGACTAAGACAACGCAAATAATTCCTTCACTTGCCAGTTTTCTTTGGGCATTGCTTTAGTCCTACATGGGTACTTTGACTAAAAAAAAAGAACTTCTTCCAAATTATTTATATGATAAATTCTAAGATGATACTGACCATGCTCCCTTTGGGATTTATTGCTTTTTCAAGGTCCTCTCTCGAGGTATATCTAGTAGCAGTGTCCTCTAAATTTTTGCTAATGGAATTTGGTTTGTAGTTGTTAAATAACTCAAGAATGAGGTTTGGTTCCAACTCAACAGTGAGAAACAGTATATCACAGCTAATGTAAAAGAATAACAGCTCCAAGGTCAATGTTCAGTCCCTAGGGCACAGCTCTCAGGAACAGCTCTAATGGCACTTGGAGACAGTAAGCTCATTGTTATTAGGTTTTCCTGTTCACTGTTGGGTGTTTAGTAGCATCCCTTTATCTGCTCACTATATATGAGTAGATCCCCTTCACCTTTTTGTAATAATTTAATTTGTCTCCAGATAGGGTCAGTTTCCCCTATTGTGGGGGCTGGGCACAACTGCCTCAGGTTGAGGCTCAGTCTTTTAAAGAAGGATTCAGAGGCAGGCATGAACTCAGAAGCAAAGGTCCATAGGGTGTTCTACCATCTGCTTGAGCAGACCATATCAGACAATGAACAAAAGCTGTACAGGATGAAAAGGTGACCTTTGTGCGAGCGAGGCAAAGAGATTCATATTTATGGTGGATCTAACTACACAGAATGGATCTAACTACACAGAATAAACTCAGAGCCCCCGGGAAATTGCCTACTTCTGATGACTACAGAGAGAAGTATGTCAGAAGCCTATAAACCAGAATCTTCAAGAACACTTACGGTATCATTACACTAGAGAAACTGAGGACCCTGTAGAGGATCCAGGAGTGCTCAACTGTTTATACTGGTAGAATAGCCACAGAAATGGAAGACTGATTATAAGAGAAAAATTAGAGAAATATATATTAACTTCCAAGAGGTCTACAAATTGTAACAGGAATAAAAAAAGCATACAGATTGAAGAAGGCAAGGAACCGATAATATCGGCCAATTTTCCTCTTTACCTCCTGCATGTATGTGTATGTAGTGTGCACTAAATTGCAAGTATGGCAATGAAATGTGTGCAGTAGACAGAGGTTGACATTCAGTATCTTTTACTCTCACTCTCTACTCCTATTCTGTCTAGATAAGCTATCTCTCTGAACTCAGAGCTTAAGAGTTTGGCTGGATCCCCCCAAGGAGGGCCTTATCCTCCCTGGGGAATGATGTGGGGATTGTGGTGGGGTGGGGGGTGGAGCTGGTGGAGGGAGAATAGGGGAGCCGGGATTGTCATTTGAAGCATGCATGTTTCTAATTTAAATAAAAAACATACAAAATTAAAAAAATGAAAAAAAAGAGTTTGGTTGTTCTAGTTAGTCAACTTGCCTTGGGAAATTCCTGCCTTATTTCCTGAACTTTGGGGCTAATTGTTAGCTATCCCATGAATTCAGTTTTTATGTGGGTGCTGGAATCTGCACTTTGAACTTCATGCTTAAATGGCAAGAGCTTTATCCAATGGACTATGTCCTCAGACCTTTACATATTTAATTCCCTGCAGTGTTCCTAAACTGCTTCTAGACATACAAAAAATGTTTGCCAACACAAAATTAGAATGTTTTTTCCTATTGGAAATTAACCTCTTTTTTATAAAATGAGATCAGAATAATTATGTGTAGATGGAAGTTTCTCTCCTACCCAGTCCAGTGGCTGTTACAAGCAAGATATCACCAGATATCACCACAATAATGTCCATTAGCAAAGTGCATAGCTAAAAGGCAAAGTTAACTCTATCAAAATTAGTTCTAAGTAGTTCTTTATCCTTGTATTGAGAATGCTTGTCTTTTTACCTGAGGGCCTTGATTTATTCCTGAGTTCAGAGGATTTCCAAGAACGTACTTCTTAGCTCTCTCAACACTCCTTCTCACAAATTCATCATAAATTGACTCCTCAACGAAGAGCCTGGATGCTGCTACACAACATTGGCCTTGATGGTAGAACACCCCATAATGTGCGAACTCTACAGCTGTGTCCACTGCAAAGGAAACATTCATATTAAAGCAGAAATATTTTCTGTAGCATACATGTGTGTACATGAGCTCACACACATGCATACATACTGAAGAGATGGCTGAGTGCTTAAAAAGTACTTGGAGCTCTTCTAGTGTGCTGGAGTTGAATTCCCAGTGCCCATGAAGGATGGGTCACAGTCTCCTATAGCTACTTCATCAGGACCTCTGAAGCTCTCTTCTGGCCTTTGGAGGTACCCACACTCATTTGTACATACCCACACATATACACACAACATCTAAATAAAAAATTTTTAATTAATTTTTTTCTCAGATGAAAAATTGTGATAGGTTAAAAAGAAGAAATACCAAACAGACATAGACTCAATATATTTCACCTCTTAAAAGCCAAATGATGAAATAATTTTGATGATCTTTTATTTTCAATGCTGAAAGGAGAGGCTAGGCCAGCTTTAGCATAGATATTACGAAGAATATACAATTGATTGCAAGAACAAACAGTAATAGAAATAATTTTATAACTCTTTCTGATGATTGAGATATTTGTGACTACTTTCAGATTCAGGTTTTAACTAATAAAAATATGAAATCTTGCCTTAAATAATTTCAAGACATTCACATACCGTGGTCAAAGGGAAATATTATCTTTTTGAAAATAACAACAAAACCATATTAGTATTCAGAAGCATCACTCACCATATGGATTTTCCTTTAGGCAAGACACATCCAAAATCTATTTAAAGCCTATGTTATGCATGCATATAAATTCATTGCTTAGTTTATGTGGTACAATGTGCATAGATTTTTTATTAGAGTGCTGTTGGTTCTAACAAAAAGATAGGTTTGTGTGTGTGTGTGTGTGTGTGTGAATTTTATGAATTAGAAAGATTCTATTCAATATTGTAGAAGTGGGGTGCCAATCTGTGAGCCAATAGTAACTGCTTCAGCTTTAGTTATGACAGTTTAGAGAGTGATAAAGTAGGGACCCTGCCATGTGTTGAATAGTAACCAGGTGAGTTCTAAAATATTCAGTGAGAATCACCACAGTGACAAAAGCAAAAGTTATGCACTATTTGTGTTTATAGTCTCGTTGTAATTACGCAACTATTGAAGTAAGAGGAAAAGGAACAATGGGTCATGAATTTCAGTGAAATTATTCCTACATGATAAGTAACCTGAGAATTTCATTTGTTAGTAAAATCAGAATGATTAGGAATTTTACAGATGGGATCACATTCAAATGATAAACTTAACATATTTCAACTTCACCAACATTAACTGAAAAAAAAGGAGAGTGTTTAAAAATCAGGTCTAATATTCTTTATTCTTCTTATAAATGGTCCTGAGTAAAGGCAGAAAGAAATTATGAAATTTCTGACAGTTATACTCATTTTGCTTCAAATGTCTCAAGTATCTCATGTCCTCAGCACAATTAAAGAATAGATGATACAAACTTACTAAAACCACATCAAAAATCCTCGATGAAGTCCAATTATACTACCTCAGATTGATACTCGGAAATAGTAAGCTATTCTAACTCAGGACAAGATCTTCTCTGTGTTTTGTTGTCTGTATACTGCAGGAACAATTTAAAAGCTTTGCAGAGTCACCACAGACTCTAGATAAGTCCTTATACCTTGAAGCAAAGTCATTTGCAAGACTGTGTGACATCATCAAACATCAAGAGGAAGAAGGTGAGATGCTAGCAAGGGACTTGTACTCACAGTCAGCATCTGCAAACACAATGCAGGGGCTCTTTCCCCCAAGCTCCAGGGTGACCCTCTTCAGATTGCTTTTCCCTGCAGCTTCTTTGATTAATTTGCCAACCTGAAAGCAGACATCACAGAGGAGGAGGCTTAGTTTGTTGTTGTATACATGGGTTGTTTTAATGCTTTCCATTTATAGGACATTTACACCACCCAGTAATTTAATTTGGAAAAAAAAACATGAATTGGTGTCATTCAGGATCTGGCACCTTTAGATATAAAAGCCTCCACCATCAAGTCTGAAAATATGAAGCAAATCAGAAAATGATCGTGGGCAGGAAAGCAGACACTGCAACTTGAGACCTGACTTTCATGGGTGGGCCGATAAGAGTTTATTTTTCATTTCCATCAAAACTTTCTCTCTGCATTTGATCAGAAGTACCCCCAAACACCTGACACATTGATTTCTCTTCCCTCTGGTGACATTTAGGGAACTCAGTTCTTTTGTTTGGAATCATCTCTTAGCACAGATTATCTTTGAGCCCTTCTCTGATGATTCTAGGTGGGTGTGATTCTTTTTCTTCCGGTCTCCCAAAGAAACACATGAAAACCCATCTGGAATACCCCAAATGGTATCACACACATCTTCAAAAATTTCCCAACAGACTGTAATTTTCTGTGTCTCTGTGTGCTTATCACAGTATGCTCACTGTTTATGGATCTCGGTACCCCTTTCACCATGGTGTTCTTGGCACTATGTTCCTGTTTCTCCTACACATGGCACTCTGCACAGTGGATGTAAAAGAAAGAGGTTGACTATGATCTCTGGGTTCTTCCTGCCATTAGCTGGAATCCTGCCAGTCTAGTTTCTTCCTTAATTCTAGTTCCTTCATCTAAAAGAAGACATTGATTTCATTTTATTTTACTTTCTCTTTTTGGGTTGCTTTTATTGAAGGTTGTTTTCTAAAAAATAGTTCTTCTTTTCTATCCATAAATCCAGCTTTTATAATCACTTGTACTTCACTCTGTTCACCATGACCACATTCTACTGAAAAGATCTTTACCCAGGTGTCTCTTAGAGGTACCAATTTGCTTCTTTAATCCTCTGGGTTTCCTGGACTATTCTACATGTTAGATTTTAACGGAATGTTTCTATCATACATATGAGTGTTGAGATTATTTTTATGAGGACACTACATTGCTATTATGCATTACAGAAAAGTTATTCATTCTGTTAAGATTTTCATTTTATCAATGATGCTACAAATCTAAATTTAATTCCTAGAATTAGGTGAATAGAAATAAACAAAGCTAGCCATGTCCTGGGGAAGCTCTACCTGAAATTTATCTTCCCTACTTCTCTTTCACACTGCTGTCTTCCATCCTTTCTGTCCTTTTATTTCTGACTGTTATCCCTGTATAGCTCAGTTTGGCTTATGATCCTCCTGCTTCATTTCTCAAGTGGGGGTAGTGGTGTGTGGCACCATGCCGAGTCTCTGCAACACAATCTTTGCGACTATTTTCATTTAAGAAGTTTCTATTTTCTATACAACAAATTTTATTGTTTTGGAGTTATCTGATCAGTTTAGTAGAAAAGTTCTGCCAGCATAACCAAATCTCGTACTGGTTATTGGAGTAAAACCAGAAGATATTTCCTAAAGCCACAATACACATGGCGAAGAATGTGTAGTACAACGGCTGGTTAGAAATATGAAGGAGATATAAAGATTTTACAGATGTTGCACATTCAGGTGGACAATTTGTAGTTTGATTGAATTTTCTCAGAAAACAAGCAAATAATTTTTATCCCATGATTTTATTCCCTTATTTTTCAAAACTAAAAATTTATTTTCCGGCAGAAGACAAAGAGAATTGCAGAAATTTAGACTGTTCATCTTCTTGCTGCATCCCATTTGAAGCAGAGGGGAACAGTGTTCAGAAAAATGTGTTTTACACAGTGTAAAACTGAATTATTTAAAATTCTTACTATCAAACCTACATTACATTTTTTGTTAGATTGTTTTATTATTGTGACCACAAGAGATGCAGTCTATCATTTGCTTCTGGATTAAAAATGATTCAGGATGTTTAGTATAAATCATGTAACAAACCATGAAGAAAACGAAGGTACAAGTTCCGACAGAGCATTTGTGTTGAACTAATGCTATGCTTTCCCTCACTGTGGCTTTTAAAATCATGTTGTTGCCATTTTGTCATTTAGAAACCACTATTTTGTGACTAACCCTGAACAAGAATCTTTGAGGCTAGCCAGACAAGAGAAAGAGTTAAATCTTCAAGGACACCATCCTGCAAGGGCAGTGGGAATACAGATGGAAACATTGTCCAGTTCATGGTTTTCTCAGGACTTCAGATAGGAGCACCAAGGCAGTGTGGGAACTCTAGGAGTCAGGTGACAGGAGCAGATGCCCACATACAAACCAAAACCTGGGAAAACGAAAGTGACCAGGACATTTCCCAAGTTCGCAGAGGGTTGCTAAGTGTCTTTTTCTACATGCTCTCATTTTTATTATGTAAAACTGAGAAAAACAGATGTTACATTCCACTTTTCAAATAAAAAAAGTCAAATTTGGCAAAGATACTTAACTTTTACAGGCATTGTACTTAGAGAGTTAGACTGGAATTTGACCCCAGACTTTGCCTGATCTCTAATTTCCATGTTTATTGGGGGGAGAGGCCTCAAAATTGTTCATGTCTCAGGATCACTTATGACAGTTGAGGATTCATGCTACATCTGGGGTCAGCACCAGAAGCCTTCAGCATAGATGACCTGAGAAGTCAGCATAGGTTTTGTACCCAGATATGCCCATGGATTCTCCATTGCAGGAGGTGGAAAATCCCAAGATTCTATCTGCCTCCCTGATATGATTTCACCCTTACAGAAGTTATCAGCATGACTTGCATACCCTCACATCTTTTTACCCCATAGAAAATTCTGAATACAGCAATTTTAAGAAGACCACATGCCAATCATAGATTTTTCACCGTGTACTATCTTCCCCCATCCATGAAAAATAAGAATGTGTTTTAGAAGATCAAGAATAGAATAAAAATATAACTTAATGTTTATCAATTCAACTTCTGAGAAGTTTAATAAAATATTGAAGCACCTAACTGTGATTGTAATAAAATCATATTAACCTTAGCTCATTATGAAAAATCTTGCTTCACAGCCCTTAAGTAGTTAAAGCAGAAAACATTCCTCAAAACCTCCAGCAAGTCTTCCATCCATCTATCTTCAGGTAAGTTTTCCTTTTCTTGATCTCCTGTAAGTATCTGATAGCCTTCTCCATACTATTTACTTCCTGTGGGTGCTGGCTGCTTGGTGTGGTCTACTCTTGCTCACTTTTTACTAATGCCAATGAGGCATGCAGTGTCGTCTTTTTTATTTATTTTTCAGTTTAAATTTAGATAAGAAACAAGGTTGCTTCACAAGTCAGTCCAGGTCCCTCTCCCTTTCCCTCCCCTCCTCCCGTGCCCTCCCCCCAACCCCCCCCATTATCCCCTCATTTCCCCAGGGAGGGTGAGGCCCTCCGTGGGGGTGTCCATAGTCTGTCATTTCATATAGGACAGGGCCTAGACCCTTCCCCAAGAGTTCAGGGTGAGAGTGCACCTCACATTGTTGGATGGGAGTCCAAAGTCCGTGTGTATACTCAGGATGGGTACTGATCTGCTGCCCAAGGTTCAATAGATTACCTAGGCCTCCTCACTGACACCACATTAAGGGGGCCTTGATCAGTCCCATGCTGGATTCCCAGGCTGATGCCTGGGATTCAAGAGTTAACTTTTGTCGGGTCAGCTGTTTCTGACGGTTAAACCAGCCCAGTCTTAATCCCTTTGGTCATCAGTCCTCCCTCTCTGTTACTGGCTTTCTTGAGTACAGCTCAGTACTTTCTGCTGAATAACTAGTAATGTGATGACCAAGTAGGGTGACTCAAACATCACTTTGCTTGAAATAGGGTATTTTCTACCTTTTTTGTTTATAATAGAAACTCATGCAATATCCAGAATTATGCCCAAGCCTGTTTCTCTCCCTCCACCTGCCATTTTTTCTTATTGTGTCTTTTGGGTTATTTTCTGTTTCTCAAATTAGTACTAATCCATAGTAAAGTCAGGCACACAGACCACTGAGTCTCTCCAGCTGAAACATAGAAGGATGCTATGCTGAGTAGACAGTCCCAAATAGGATGTTAAGGGTGAGACTCTACTATTTAGTCTTCTTCATCTAGAGGTTGTACTTACATTCACTCATATAAATCAGTGGTTGAATTTATGTTTTACCAGATACTTTACCTCTTATTAGACAAGATCAGAGGCTGTGTTTCCAAGAGACAGTAAAAAACACACTGAAAATGGTAATCTTTCTCAATTAGTAGCAGGTATTTTCTTTTATCCTAAATTCCCCCACTTGTGTTTGGTCAACATATTTCAAGGACAGAATAAGGAACAAGTCATTGAAACAACTTTTGTTTTATGAAGTGTTGGCTAAGAAAAACCTGCGGAGGGAATGCTTGTTCTCTTTAGAGATGAAGAATCCGGAGACTGACACCTACCTGTGTTGATCCCGTGAAGGCCACCTTGTCTATGTCCATATGAGAAGAGATGGCTGCCCCTGCAGTTGGTCCATAACCAGGGACAATGTTTACCACGCCAGGAGGAAACCCTGCCTACAAGCAAAGAGGCAAGCAGTCAATGGATCAAGAATTTAATTCTCGATAGAGACACAACTACATGACCAAAGTTGTTTTGTTATTCTAAACTTTAGAGTTTTTCTACCCAGAAAACTTCTCTTAAATATTTATTATTTATTATTATTTCTTTTATTTTTTCACATGAAAAATATACTCAAAGGTGATATTATTGAGAAATACTTTCTGCCAAATCCAAAATTGCATCAGTGGATCATAGCTCCAAGATTAGCTGTGTCAAATGTCAGAAGGGAGACCTCATTGAGAAAGGATCCAAAAAAGTATGATAATGTACATGGAAAGAAAGGCATTCAGTATCATCAGCAGAGCTAAAAATCTAAAGAGAAGTCACATTTTCAGTGTTTCCTTGTTGACTTTTCAACAAATCCCTAGAGGTATTATTCAATCAGTAAAAAAATCACATAGGCAAAGCCTCTCAGAATGATAGACTGATTCTTATCCCACTAAAATCAACAAAGACAGAGCCACTAGTTTGATGGACATATTAAAATTTCAAGATATTTGCATTAAAATGCCTCATTCTGATAAATGTTTGTCCATTTTAATTTGAAATGAAACTATCCAAAGATATTGTCTGAGATTTCAAAATTCTAAGTTGCTCTTTTGAGTTTTTGGTATGATATTAAGGACAAAAAACAGTAAGTTGTTTTTAAAGCACAAAATAACACACGTTGGATAAATAAAAGTACCCTGTACTCTTTGCACTTTGAACAAGAAAAAATCTGAAGATGACAGATAAGTGACTATAAACAGTTGTTCTGCTCTTTGCATAACATGGCCCAATATTACAGTGAGCATATTAGCACATGTGTCTTCTAACCTTCAGTCAGATTCAAACTAAGATACCTGAAGGAATTCACAAAAGCAACCAGGCCAGTTATAAGTCCAGGAGTGACAACAAATATTTCGGCACTTGAAAGAATGTCGTTATTTCTTCAGGAATAATGCTTAGGAGACTTGAACAACATAAGTAACAGGTTACAAGATGACTGGCTGTAAGCCTCTGTCATTATTTAGAGACACATTTGTTCTGACTGACAGAAGTTGAAGGCTATAGCTCTGCTGCTTTTATCTCCATGAGTGCGTAGGGCAGGAGGCATGTGTGATCAGGGAAGCTCACAGGAGGGGAAATGAGGTTTGCAAGGTAAATGGGGGTGGGGGGGACCCTGAATTTACCTGCATGTTGTGACTCTGGAAACTCACCTCTTTTATTAAAGATGCCATGTAAAGAGCAGTGAGAGGAGTTTGCTCTGCTGGTTTGACAATCACAGTGTTCCCACAGCCAAGGGCTGGGCCAATCTTCCAAATGAACATGAGCAATGGGAAATTCCACTAGAAAGCAAAATTGAACAATTTCATATTGGCTCAAACCACAGTTTCTAAAATGACCTGCCTTGATAGAAAACTCATTTGCTCTGTGTAATTATCTGGCATATGTCATTTAGGTTAATTGCTAAAAGCAACTAGTAAATGATAAATGTTCTGAACTAAACATATAGAAGGGAGTAGGAAAACACCCTTGAATTTGATCAAGTCCTATTATTTTGAATTCTTTTTCTACAAGAAAGACATTTTATGTTTTGTACATAATTAAGCATGGCAAATGTTACAAATATTTTAAAAGATATTACATTCTTTCCTTATATCTCCCTAAAGAACACTTATTGATTTTACATAATTTTAGCACATTGAATGTCTAGGATACTTCATTTTTACTTTTCGGATGCTGGAGACTGAAACCAGGCCATGGACATACTGAGTGCAATTTCCACAAGACAGAGCTATCCTAAGGCCAAGATAAACAAAGGCAAAGGAAGTTCACATCCAGTAGGTAAATGCTTGAGTTTGGATTTCATCAAACCCACTGGCCAACTGTAAGAAATAAGATATGCAACTGCTTCTCTATTTAATGCATTCATCATCCATGAGTGGTAAAAACCGTCCTCTCTCTTTTAGATGATGTCCTCAGGATTAATTGAGAAATTCAAGACTGTGGCAAAGCTTGTGTGGGACCTGGAGTTAGATTCCCCAGTACAACAGAACAAAACAGAGGAAGTTAATGTTTAAACTATGCAATATTCCTAGCTGGTAGAGTGATGTAGATATGTTTGATTGTTTTCTAAGCCTTTTAAGTATGGAACAGTTCCATGAAATACCCTGATAAGTTCAGTCACACTAAACAAGAGTCACTGTCAGTCTGAAAACTTCAGGACACTTAGTGCTGTTTTTAATTTAGCCTTTTAAATTATATCAAATCAGCTGGAAGTGGCTAGTGTCCTGTGTTAGCCATAGAGGAAATCTGGTTACATCCAGAACATGATTTTTTGGCAGAAGTATTTTGAGTCACCAACCCTGCTACCTAAAGGTACAATAAAGGCAAACACTATTCCAGTTTTCATGGAGCTTATTCCTTCCACTTCAGTCTAAAGATATTTTCCGTGATTTGAACGATTTGCTTCAGTTACTGTCCACAGTGGGAAGACTCAAGGAGGAGGCAGATGTGCTGGAGGCAGTTGGGCACCGCTGTGTGCACTGACATGTTATAGATTAGCTGTGATAAGCCTTTGTCACATACTTACAAAGCACAGCTCATGAAACCAGAACATAGCACAATTTCCAAAACAACCCTTAGGGCTTATTGTTACGCTGAAACACCCTCAAAGGTACAGCAGTATATAGAGCACAGCTCATGAAACCAGAACATACCACAATTTCCAAAACAACACTTAGGGCTTATTGTTACGCTGAAACACCCTCAAAGGTACAGCAGTATATAGAGTGGGAGTTGTACCAGCTAGCTCATATCCAAGAAGCAAAGTTACAGGAATATATTCTTCAGGCAGTCATGCTTATTGAATGTACTTCATACATAACAATCCCACAATTTTATCTTGTGTGAGGATGAGCTTTAGATCAAATGGAATTACTGCTTTCATTTCCCCATTAGAGTCATGAAGGAAAACTTACAGGAATGATTTGGCCACACACCCCAATTGGTTCACGTCTTGTGTAAGTGAAAATATCTCCGTCTGGAAAACAGAGCAGACACACCATCCATTAAAGACAAAGGTGGGATGTACTCATGGCAGGGTGATGTGATGTTGGTATGAGAGGAGCCCCCCAGTGAACAGCAACAGGGAAACAAAATATCCCTATCTATAAGATTAATAACATAACAATGTGGCTATATAAAACAGCTATTTGAATCTAAAGACTGAGATACACTTCATTTCTTGATGCTGCCTTTTACATCACACTTGTTCACAAACTGATGCACTGGGAGGTGAGGTCCTATATGGGTAAGGGCAGAGACACATACAAATGTTTCCCGCATTTCAAATCTCCCAGAAGCACTAACTTTTAAAAGGTAAATGATTTAAATTAGTACAATATATCCCCAGAGTTAAGCAGTCTTTCTACTGACTTGAAACATTTGTTTTTCTTTATTATCCAATGTAAATGCAAAGTTTTTTAATCTATGAAAAAAAAGTGTTTGAAGTGAAATGTGGTTCTCTTCCATCTGGGTTTGGCCTACTCCAGTGCCTTACTTTGATGTGGTTACCCTGAGAATTTTGTTGTTCTGTGTTTTATTCTGGCTTCCTTACAGGTGCTTCTGCTACCACAGCAAGTACTGTTCCTGGCAAGAACTATGGGTACTTTAAGCAGTTTCTTTTATATTTCCTAAGAGTGGAGTAAGAGCCACAAAAGCCCCATTCATGGTACCTCTATCGTCTCATTTTTATCGTATTACTTTCTGAAGACAATCTCTCAAAATGAATCCTCCAATGAGACTGGAAGTGCATATTAGTGTCAGAACTGGAAATGGACTTCTGAGTTCCTGGAGTCATTCCAGTTCTAGATTCTTTTCCAGCTATGCTTTTCCACTTGAAATATTTTTCAAGTGTCTGTTCTACAATATGCACACTGAGTAATACTTGCACAAATACTTTCATACAAATCTTTTAACTCAGCTAGTAAATATGTCCTTATCTTGTTTTGAAAGGTGTTAATATAAATTAGTTTGTTTTAAATGCACTAAGTTTAAAAGGGCACAGATAACACACCATCCTCTTTCTGGATCAAATGTCTTAAACAATTGTATTATAGGAAGAATAGCGATGGTTTTATGGAAATGAAAATAAGTGATTTCAGAGTCAGCTCTCAAAAGTTTGAGCACTTGGACTCTTCACTGAATTTTTAACTGATTCTATGATAATGCTGTCTACATTCTCTATAGTTTGATTTTCCTCATGATTAAATGGGTACAACCTAAAAAATGTTGACTCAATAGAACTTCCTTCTACAGAAATGTGTTTATTCCGAGTCAAGGGAAAATAATTTTTGTCTTATTGTTTGACATCTTTATCAGAGTTTTAAGGTGTCATCTCTGTAATGGCAGTCTTGCCTCTGCTACCATCTCTGATAGTTTTCTAAGTATACTTACCACTTGGTATTGTTTGACCATGGACCTTGTCTGCCCAGCCTGCACAGTACTTCAATGCTTTGATGCAGCCTCCTAAATCAAACAAGTATGAACTGGCGAAGACTTTCCCACCATTAGTTGCCTCCAATGTCTGAAAAACAAACACAAACCACAGTCTACAATTACGTTGAGAACATTGCTAGTGCATGGACTTTGGGAGTCCATTCCCTATAGAGGGATACATCTCAGTCTAGACACATGGGGGAGGACCTAGACCCTGCAACAAATGATGTGACAGACTCAGATCCCCCATGGAAGGCCTCACACTCCCTGGGGAGTGAAGGGGTTGTGAGACAGGGGATGGGTGGGGGGCATGGGAGGACAGGAAGGACAGGGAACCGAGATTTGCATATAAAATAAGGCTGTTTTTAATTTAAATGAAAAAATAATTTGGAATTAAAAAAGAAGAAGTACATTGCTCGATAGAACTGGAGAGATGACTTAACAGTTAAGATCATCTAATGTTGTTCCAGAAGACTGCTCCGATCACAGCACTCACATGATAGCTTACAATCATCTAAAAAATCCCAATGATATGTGATATTATGCCTCCTTCTGCCTTCTGAGTACAGCAATTCTGCACACAGTGCACAGATACACATAAGGGACAAACACCCATACACAGGAAACAATTTAAAATAAAAATGAACTATCACATACTCATGTATGAATGAGCAGCATAATTGGATTCAGAAGAATAAAAAGAGGATATAAGGAGTAGGCAGTAGGTGGCATGGGGGGCCCTAAGGGGAGTTGATAGGAAGTAGTTGTTGTAAAATGATCAATATCCGTTTTATAAGTGTATGGAATGTTATAGGAATAAAAATAAATTAGAAGAATATATGATCAACATTTTCAGTCGTTATGTAAGAGAACTTTGAAATTATAAGGAATCTCAAATCACCTCAACTAAACTATTTTTAAAACAGAGCCCAGTAACTTGTTTATGGTCACATAGCAAGCTCCTGGTAGAGGGGATAATGAGATTTCTATCCTATGACCTTTGTGCTGTTTCTGTCACTCTTTGAGTTACTTCCAACTAAGCTATCTCTATGCACTAGTCACAGTTTCACAGGTACACAGCTGTGAAAAGGATTGGTAGTGTCCTTGTCATATAACAATTCCAACTGGATCTCACTTGCGAGCCAAGGGTAGAAACAAGTTGGTGTTTGCATCCATTCTGGTGCCTGAGTAATTATTGTCATATTCTTCACAGATAGAAAGTCTGTTGGTCCAAATTTGACACATTTCTCACCATGGATTTATGGATTTTCCTCAGCAGTTTTCAATGGCAATCCTGCTATTTAGGTAACATGGTCATAACTATTTCAATAGTCAAAATATAAAGTTCCAGCTTTCTGGGATTGCAGTGGTTTTTTTTCTTCCTTCTCTTTCTGCTCAGACTATAAATGTCTCCTTGGAATCCTTCATTCCACAAAGTGATTATTCAATAGCTAAAGGTCTTCTTCCTCCGATTTATACTGCCCCCCCCAAAAATAACTACACTCTCATGATTTTGGATATCTGTTATTCATTCTCTGCAACCTTTCAAGGTGGCAAAGGCAGCTAACACTTTGCATGCCACAGACAAATGAGAGAAACCACGTTTTGGAAAACAGCTTTCTTTCTATAGACTACTGAAGGTGGTCGGGTTTTATTGCAGCAGTTATGACTGTTTTTTAATATTTTGAAAAGTTCGGCATTGTTGATAAAAGGGTGATTTTTTTGGTAACTCTTTTTTTTTGAAATCCACTTTTATTATATATTTAAATTAGAAACAAACTTGCTTCCCATGTCAGTCCCAGCTCCCTCTCCCTCCCCTCCATGCCCACTCCCCCCCATAAGCCCCCCTAGCCCTCCACTCAATTCCCATTCCATTCCCTAGGGAGGGTAAGGCCCTCCATGGGGGATCTCTAGAGTCTCTCATTTCATTCTGGGGAGGGCCCAGACCCTCCCCCAAGTATCCAGATTGAGAGAGCATCCCTCATTGTGGGATGGGCACCCAAAGTCCATTTGTGTGCCAGGGATAAATACTGATCTACTATCCAAAGCTGGAAAGGGTGTTTTTACAAAAAAAAAATTGGTAATGCTTCTAGTAAAATGAAGATAATTACATGTAGTCTGAAATCTAACTGGGAATTACGTTGTTTCAGTGGCTTTACTAAAATGCATGACTCAAAAGACAAGTAAATGTTCTCCCATTCATAGTCTATACTAGCATATCCACTACAGAAATGAAAAAGCAAAGCATCCACAAGAGAAACCTGATTTTATTCGATATTCAACCTAGGTTCTAATTTGGTAATTGTTTTACACCTGTCAAAATGAAAATCATTGCTCTTTGTGAAGATATTGTCAACAGACATGTGGCAAGAAAAAGAAGCACTGTAAAATTTTTGGGGTGGATATAAACAAAATTTATTCTACAGCGATATTTTGGTATCTTTAATTTCCCCCTAAAATGCTTCAGAATCAGTGAATCTGAGAATTCAAGGGCATCGTTAGAGGAACATTTGACCATAGCAAGGGCTCTAAGAAATTCTAGAGAAAAGGATGGATGTTTGTCAATGTGCTCTCTTAACCAAACCGGTTGGCTAATTGGAGCAGTGAATGCTCTTGGGAACTCTCCTCTGCATTCTGTTGGTGGCATTGGTTAATACTTACAGCCAGCAGCAGACGGTCTCTTTCCATTAAGTCAGCCAGTTTGTACAGTAGGCGCCCTCTTTCTGAAGCATCCATGGTGCGCCATGGGGAACCAATCTGAAAAGCTTGCCGTGCAGCCTTCACGGCTTTGTCAATATCTGCCTGGAAATCACAGACATTCAATTCAGGATATTCAAAATACTAGATGAACAAAAACACCATCACAATCTTTAAACTAAGACACAGTCCTCATAAGCAGAAGCTAGATCTTCATTAGTCCAAAGTCCAAAACATTCCACACTCTCCATACCACAGTATACTGGAATGGTTTCTCTTGAGTAATATTTGTAATAAGCTCCAATAGTCTATGAAATAGTTAAACTCCTACAATAGAGATGATATGTTTAGCCAGGTGTTTGTGGCTCATGCCTTTAATCCCAGATTAAAATGTGTACAATGGTAGCTTCACCAAAAGAATTCTTTGGCAAAAAAATCTCTGCCACTGTGAAACCAGGAATTCCAGTATGTCCTTCTATTTATATCAAGAACATGAATTTTGGAGATTTCCTAGACATACCTGATCCCAAGAACGAAATGCCTACAATTCAGATCCCGAGCCTGAGGCCTTAAGGGCAAGAGTTTATTCAATAAATATAGAGAAATCAGAATGGTATGGTATAATGGGAGAAGAGTATGACATCAGGACCTTCCCTTTTGGGAGCACCATGAGGGGAACAGGCCCATATAGTGAGACTAAGAAAATGTAATATATCATCTGCCCGCCCCCCCATAAATCCTTTTCCCAGGTCAGGCATTTGGATAAGGGTCTCCCTTCCCTGGGGCGCTTGAGGAAAGTTCCCACCTGATAAAGCATTCTTCTTATCTCTAGCAAGAGGAACTTGTGGCCCATCCATTAACATGTGGCTGTTGCCTATTGCCAAGGTCAATGCTAGATTCCTCAACCATTTATCTCCAGCCACACCCCAGATCACATATCCTTTGTCTCCCGTTTAATCCTATGTGCAACTATACAGCATAAAAGGTATAATCTTTTCTCAGTTAAATGCTGTGGCAGCCAACTGATTCACCCCCAAGATAGTGTCCATTTCCTCCTTCTCCACGCTACCCCACGCTGACTCCACACATCCTTGTTGGTACCCGAACCCTGCCTGCCAAAGCAGGTCTCTGGCACTGAGCTATATAAATAAGTTTGTTCTTATGTTTATATCTTGTGGGGCCATGACTCTCCTTCTCTCACATTATGTATATAATCCTGTAGGACCAGAAAAAGAGTAAGGACTATGAATGTTTAGTGAAACAAAAAGCCCAGCTTTGAATTCTGATTTTTCTTTTTAACCAGGTAAGATTGGAGGGATGCAAACATCTGTGTCTGTATAGCATTCTATCTATAGATAGGCTAATGATAGGACACTGAGGTCAAGATTTTGTTATGAAACATTCACTAAACTGGAAGAACATACGACCAAATACTACTTTATCATATTGCAAATGCAGCCCTTCCAAGAGTATCCAAGAAGTACTGATTCCCAAGTTCTGGAATGATAATCTAAAATCATATATTCTAAAGTAACATAAAATTTGCATATAACCCACAGACCTTTTAGGTTAACTCTAGTTTACTTCTGATACATTAAACAATGGTAGGTAAATAGTATTATATGCTATTATTTAGAGAACAATAGCTAAAAAAGCCTTTGAGCTCAGTGTCCACACAGCTCCATCTTCTGGTCTCAGGGGGGTTTAATTTATCAACATGGAACTTGTGGATGCAGATGGTCCACTGTTCAAAAGTAAGACGAATTGTATGAAACCATTCTTCTTATTCAGGAACGGTTGTTTCACATTTTCTATGTGACAGACATGCTAAGTATTCATTAGATGGAGACAATTGTGGTCCTAAAAGAGATACCAGCATGAAAGTGACTACATTATCCTAGTGCATTCTAGCATGTTCTTTAAGCTTTCTCTGCCATCTTCTAAACAGGCTCTGTTGTTGCATACTGTCAGCAGCTGCCTACTTTCCCTCCCACTGTCTCTATAAGGCTTCCAGGCTAATATCTTTCTTATAATTAATCTTATCACTTTCCAACTCATGTTTACACTTTCTTGCTTCATCCCCAATTCTAAGGTCAAGACTCTCTGTTTGGTTTCAAGGTCCAACATTTCCTGGCTCCACCTGCTAAGACTTCCTGTTTACCTTTCTCCTGCTTGGCATGAACTATCCCTTTTCTCATTTTGGCTCCTGAAATTCTCCTTCAATAGAGAATGTTCTAGCAGCATGTACTTTGACTTTCCAAGTCCTATACATTTTAGAAAAGTTCTGGATCAGTGTGTTAACACACCACAATAGTCACCAGACACATAGCTTAAGGATACTTAGTAATTAAGGAGCTTCTTACTGATCTACAGGAAGGAAAGCAAGTTCTTTATTGCCACAAATTATTAATATCAATAGTTATCGTGAACTTTTCTATTTATGATAGCAAGGCAATGGAAGCAACTTAAATATCCATCAACAGATAAATGGAAATGTGATTCACATTGAAAATAGAATATTATTCAGTCATAAAGAAAAATGAAATCAATAAATCTACAGGAAAATAAATGAACTTAATATGTATAATATTAAGCAAGGTCACCCAAGCTCAGAAAAAAAATCGAATGTTCTTCCTCATGTGAAGATCTTAGCCTATAATGTATAATGTTTATATGTTGACAGTTCAGTATGTACAGAATAACACGTATAAAGGAGATGAAGAAAAGAAAGAGTTGTAGCAGTGAATGAGGCAGCAGAGAACACAGGCAAAAAGACACTTGGATCGAGAGAGAGGATAAAAGCTAACTCTTTTCCTTCATTTCAATTCTGTCATTATCTTTTGTGTTGGGTAATTGGACAAAATATAGTTGATAGTGAAAGAGTGAAACACGAAGTGAAGATCTGCGGCTTCACAATGACCTTTCTAACCGTGTAGAAGCTCACTGATACGCATAGTTTGGGACTAGGCAAGTTTCTGTTTGAGCAGCTTTCTTCATCTAGCTGTGTGATGTGAGTTCATTTTAATAAAGTGATTTAAGAAACAGAGAGGCTTTAGGCTCCCAGCACAAAGGCCAGATCTTTATAGCTCCCAAGTTACTACTATAATTATCACGGACCTTGTTTTGTAGGTAAGGAGACTTTATGCATGTGAAACACAGCAGAAAATACAGCCAAAAGTTGATCCTATATTTGACCTCTATACTTCTTGTATGTAAGCCAGGCTGTCTAACAAAGCTGCATAGTCACTACTCTGTGTATTACAGACTCCAAGGTTTCTTGGTATTCTTTTAATACACATTCAATATTTAATCATTTTTAGCTTTATTATCAATCTAACATGATATACTACTATCATATAAAGGCATGCATTTTGTCTGTTGTAACTTATTTTTAAATATTTCTATAACAATCCTGGTTTAACTGGCTTCATTATGTAACAAAGCTTTTGCAGTACCCAATATGGTAATCATATACATTTAAATGGTTTTCAATACATTTCATTTCAAAACTCTCATTCCGTATGTTTTTTATTCAAGGACTGGCATTTCTAAGATATATTTTTATTTAGTCAGACAACAAGATTAACTGGGGTTTTCTATGATTAAACCCTGTGGCCTAGAGAAGTTAAATATTCCAGTTTTGAAGTCAGAGCCTACAGGCTGAATGTATATGTAGGCACTTTGAACAAAAGTGAGAATCAAGAGCCTCTAAGACTAGTTAGGGAGGGTCTGAATCATCCATGTCTCTTGGAATGTATACCCTCACAATAAGTTCATCCATAGATGGGTAAAATAGCAATCAGGCCAGTTTCTTTTCACACCTGTCTGAAGCATTTACTTTAATGGACATTTAGTTTTATCCCTCTAATTATCGATTAGCTCATGTACCAGGATTAGTCAGCAGGCCCCAAAAGAGCCAGTGAAGTGAAAAGAAAACACTTCCCACCCACAGGCATTCTTTGCTTTTTAACATGCATTTGCTCTGGCCAGTGCACCACACTTGTGATACCATGAAAGGCAGGATAGGGCCTGCTGGCAGCCCCATTCTGCTTGTGAATAGATTCTTCAAAACCTTTAGTCTTTGACCTAAGGAGTCAGTCTAGCATACCTGGTTTCTTGTGACTGTGAACTTTACCAGGATATGCTAGAGTGACTAGCATTGCTTAGTCACCCTTCATTAGAGTCCTCACAAATTGTTTGAGTAAAAGTAATTCTGAAAAGACAATTTGTAAATAATTTTTAAAAAAGAGGAAACAGCGACAGGAATGTGGTTTTGAAGCAAGCCCTTATTTATCACAAATAGTTTGTATCATTGACAATTGCCTTAGAGGACTCTTTTGTCCAGTCAACCAGGTTGGCACAGTGTGTTGGCTTGCAGCTTGCCTGGGTACGAATTAGTCTCCTTGATCTTTCTATGGGAAGGGCAGTTGTCACTAAGCACAGAACAGATCAGTGCTCCTTGGCAAGGCTACTAGAGTGGACAACAGCTTTCCCTTCTGTGTTTGAGGAAGAGGAAAACCTTACTCAGTCTCCTAGTACTAGATATCCAGAGCCTGCCTGAGAAGGTTTCCTCTGAACCCAGGCAGAGTTTATTTTCCTAATGGGATCAATCCCAGGGTCAGAACAAGATGGCACTTAGGGGCTAAATATTCAAAGTTTCAGTGTTAAAGAAGCAACACTATTACTTCCTATTGACTGTCTTCTATAGATTCATAGTCTTGAGTGTCATTTTTATCTACACAGAGAAGGTATAGGCAACAAATGAGCTCTTAGTTTGTGTACATCTATGTCTTGGTGCCTGTGTGGCTTATTTTCCATTTTTTACTTCCTAGTCTTGTTGGAGATACTTAAAGAATGATGGTAGCATTAAGGTAAACTTATACTGTGTGTATCTTAGCCTCAGGTAAAAAGCATTTATTCTTCTGTGACTTAATGTAGTAAACATATTTTCACTTCGTTCTGGGGTTAGTTCAGAGGCTTCTGGATCTCCTGTGGCACATAGTCATGCATGGTAATAATGTCTATGCCTAAGTCTGGTTCTCTAGAAGTTAATGAAGTTGCACCCCTGGCTAAGCCAATGGTGTCAATCATCCTACCTTTATACTAGTCAAAACCCATGTTTCCCATTATGCAGTCATGTTAATGAATGTTTTACAATGTACACTGGAGAAGAACCAGCCTCTTTCTTACAGAGATGCTGGAAAACTACATGAAGAAGAGCTACTGTAGAGCCTTGTCTTTCATGATAATTAGAGATTAGCTCAAATGGATGGAGGACCTAAATGAAAACACAAAACAATGATATTACCGAAGGAAAAGGGGCAAAAATAATTTCAAGATATTGGATTAGACAGTGATTGTTTGGAGAAGTCGCCAAAGAAAAGCCATTAAAACAAACATACATACATACATATAAATAAATAAATAAATATGTAGTGTTGAGTCATAATTTTTCAGAACAAATAGGTGAAACAGTCAGTCTGGAGTGGGAAACCTTAGACTTCTCATCAGACAAATATTTTGTGGCCAGATGTTATAAGGGACTACTATAAAGAAAGATATTCCAAATAATCTAAGTGGAAATTATCTCAGAAAGCATTCCTTATGATAAGTAAATGGCCAACCAGAACATGAAACTATGTCCACTTTGCTAGCTATTGGACAAACTCCACACAAAATGTACTCTCAATGATTCATAAAAAATGAAAACATACAAAAATACTGCTGGGATATGGGAAAAAGAAATCTGTTCCTACTCTGATGGGAATATGATTTTTCCATTACACAGTACAAAATGAAAATCTCTGGTCTTCTTGTTCTCATATCAATGATTTTCAATAAAATAACTTGACAATACATAGTTTTAAAAGTCCTATGTCAATCTTCAGCTTCACTCAGCAAATATAAAAGAAGAGTTTATAAAAGATTTATCTTTTCTAGCCTAAAAGGAATTCCTTCATATGACTTTGTCTGTGTAATGAACCTAGACACTATTTCAATTGAATAGCAGTCAAGGAAAAATATCTTGAAAACAAAATCAGCACCTCACCCAAGGCATCCGTTAATGATGTTTATCTTATGCCAAGGGCAACAGAACATTTACTCAGCTTCCAGAGCAGCCACGATTTTGTGTCTCTCATTGAACCTCCACTGGGTTTTGAGCTCAGAACAATGAGAAGCAAAGACGCCTGGAATAAATTGGACTTATGGGTGTTGGGACTTACCTTGTCCCCTTCTTCCACATGGCAGATGACCTCCTCAGTTGCGGGGTTAATGACAGGAAATTTCTTGCCACTTACTGAGTCATGCCATTCATTGTTTATGAAGATCTGTGGAATACAAAGAAAGCAGGTAAAATCACTTAAATGTGCAGTAAATTTGGGGCTTTTTAAACTAGAGGTGAAGTATAATATGATGCCTCCATGTTGCATGTCTCTCCCTGTGTCAAATTGCCCATCATTTGTTTTATTACCATGTAATAAAAATACATTCAAACATTTGTACACACCGAGTGAAAGAAAGAAAAAAGAAAAAAAGAAAGAAAGAAAGAAAGAAAGAAAGAAAGAAAGAAAGAGACATACCAACAGGTGGTTTTTGCATCTTGACCTTTGGTTCCACAGTCCCTGAACACAACCCATGAGTCCCCCACTTCATGCTTGGTTGACTCACCAGGTCCTCCTCCAGTCCTCTGCTCCACTTTCCTTTAAGTTTCTCAGCTGGAACCTCACCACTTTTGTGTTTTACTTCAAACTAAGCAGCATCTCCTAGTGACCTATTTACTAGTTGCTCCAACTAAATGTCATTTCTTTGTTCCAGAGTAACACGCATCTCTGACTACAGAATTAGTGTGTTCTACTATGTCACAATTAGATACCCACAGCCTATGAGATGGTAAGCAAGCCTAGACATTATAATCAACCATGAAAATTATCAGGAAATTCACTCACCTTCAACAATTCTGTCTTATTTCAGCTGTGGGAATTGCAGTATACCTCATATTTTCTATAGATAAACCAAGAGATCAGATTTCCCATAATATGTAGATAGACTCATAATCTCACCCCACCCACTTTGAAAATTGTAATTTCACTTAGAAATAGAGGAAAATCCCATACTAAGCTGACCACATTTTGCTATGCTATTGTGAGACCAGCGAGTTCTTGCCTGAGTCCTCATAGCCTTAGCTCTGTGGGTTCTGAGTTATAGCCCTGCCATAGATGACTTCTGGCCTGTTCTTGCTTTTGGTGAGCTATTACAAAATGTACATGCCATTTCGATATTAGAATCATGTGTCTAAACTGTACACTGCTCCTTCATACTACAGGCGGTAGATACTTCAGAATAATATTGAAGTTTATATGGTAGGCTTTAGATAGCTGAAAAGGTAGGCTTGAATAACCCTGTGAGCACCCGTGACTCAGCATTTTACAGATTTAACCTTTAATACCAAAGAAAACTGCGAATCTAGTGTTTGTTTAGTTTAGTTTATGTAACCAAATCCTGAATGGCTGCTTTAAATTTTTTATTGAGTTGTTTCCTTTGCCAATTTCCTACAAGTACAAAGTGTACTCTGATTAGTGCAAATACTGGCTTTTCTAATCTTTCAACACTTCCAGTCATCCTCCCAACCCCTCTGTACACCCTTTCTTTCTTTCTTTTTTTTAAAGATTTATTTATTTATCACATATACAGTGTTCTGCCTACATGCCAGAAGAGGGCACCAGATTGAATTGTAGATGGTTGTGAGTCACCATGTGGTTACTGGGAATTGAACTCAGGACCCCTGAAAGAGCAGTCAGTATTCTTAACCTCTGAGCCATCTCTCCAGCCTCCCTGTACACCCTTTCTATACTCATGGTTTTTACTTTATTTTATTTGTTTCCGTGTTTAAAACCTAATTTTAACAAGGATCATTTGGGTGTCCATGGATTTGAAATATCCAATAGGAGCATGAATGTACAAGTGAAAATGATGGCTGTCTCATCCCCAGAATCAAACAGTTATCAATAGTTCACCAGGGAGGCACAGGGACAAGTAAACTCCTCCCTGATCCATGACTGCTCATAGGCCCAGTCTCATGTTGCTTCATTGTAGACAGCCACAGCTGTGTTTGAATCATGACAATGCTGACTGTGTCATGCAAAACTGATCACAGTTGTGATCAGAAAAATGTTTTGTCAAATAATGACCAAGTATGAGACATGTACTACCATGGACACTATGAGAAAATGAGAAGTATATTGAGTGTAGCTCTGCTCCTGGAGGTTCATACTCTAAGAAGAGTGGACTTCTAATCAATATTAGCCAGTAAACAGAAGATTCAAAGAGTCAAAGTAGCAATTTTATCAATAAATTTCATGGCAAGACTTGTGGGAGAAAGGGATGTGGGATTAGGACAAAGAAGACAAATGATGAGCAAATCATGGACCAATCTTGAGATACTTACAGCCTAGCAAAGGGCACCACTAGAATCAAGTTGAAATGAAGTCAACATCTAGTGAACTCTGATGACCAGAGAGAAAAATTTGAGCTACTAGATTCTAGACCAAAAAGGATGCTTTAGGAATTAATTGAAATAGCCAAAACTGGCATTAACTGTAGCAACCATATCTACAGGATTCTTCCAAAGACTACGTCAGCAAGCCAACAATGAGGTCACAAGACTAGAGAGAAAACAGCAGTATCACTCACACAGTAGGACTCAGTAGTCTGCCAGTGATGAACTACATTTATTCTACACCAGATTTTTCAGTACTAGGACAGAACTCAACATAGACTATATGATCACCAGTGTATCCCTAACGGCTCATGCTTGCCACAAATTTTCCTTCCTTTTACTTATTAGTTATAGTGAATTTATTGCTATTTCCTTCCCTCCCGCCCCCCTAAGCTGTCTTGGACTTACATTTTTTATTACCTCCTAGCTACTTATAAGACCAAATATATTTGAATAATCATCCTTCCTATAATTATATTAAATGGATATATGGATAAATTTAGTTCAATGGATGTTTATTATAGTAATTATTAAATCCACTTGAGCCTACAGAATATTCTATTATGGAGAGAAAAGTATACTTTCCAATTATTTGTTTTTTACAAGTTTGGGAATAGTGATGATACTATAAAATAAAACATTTTGAGCATTTAATCATCAATTGTATTATAATTATGAATGCACTCACAGTGCTTTAGAATATTGTATATTTGTGGGGGTTGTGACAGCGTTTCTCTGTGTTGCTTTGGAGCCTGTCCTGGCACTCACTCTGTAGACCATCTATGTACAAGAGATATTAAGTCTAAGTTCACAGAAATCATTGGGATTTTAAAGATGTCAGTTGCAATCCTGGAATTTCAGGGTTTTTATTTTAGTATACTTTTTAATATGATTAAAGAATCAATAGTAGTTTTTAGGCAACTAAAACATGACTTGCACTTTTGTACTTTTCATAGATAAAACTAAAAATGATGTGTATGCTACATTCCTATTTACCGGATGCAGTTTGGTTTCCAAACTCATAAGTGTTAGGAAAAAAGAAGCCTATTCAGAGTCAAAGTTATTAAGTATTCATGTTTTCAATGAAAAACAATTCTAAATAAGAAATCTCTACACTCTGGTATACCTTCAGATCATATAAACTTTCTCCTTTTACCAAGTATGAAATTTCTTCTAAATATTTCTGATTTAGATCAAACTGTGTTTTATTAATGGACATATTAAGTACCTTCTCTTCTTCTCTTCTTATCTGTCTGTTAATATGATATTTGATGACCTATTGGTTCTCAACTCCCTATAATAAAATACCCTGAATTCAAATTGTCTCTACACATTGATAACAGCGCAATTAGATCAGGTCCTTATAATAGAAATCAATGTTTTCTTAGTTTCTGTGAATGTATAAAATTGTATTTTCCATGTATAGAGAATTTTACGATTTTCTAAGTGAGAGAAATGCTAAAGTCAGTCCTCACTCCAGATTATCTGTGTATGTTACCAAATCTGAAAGGCCGGGACACAGCATGGAGAGTGATGGGGGATGACATCAACCTGTAGGAACTTACAAATATTATCATAGGTACATTTTTTTCATCATTAGAAACCTAAAAACATAGCAAGAAATGGTAAAAATAAGAAAACAAAAATCATGGTAAAATGGACAATAACGAGAATGGAACATGGTAAATGGCTCTTAAACATTACAAAATGGCTAGATTTCTCACTACTTTTAACCTAAGCCCTGAGGCAGCAAAGCAAAATCTTGTGATTCAAACTTGAGACTCTAAAAGGAAATGAGGGAGGAAAATACCGTATGGTAGGAAACTATCTACAGTCAAGTGAGTGGAAACAAAGTGCGAGTAACCAACATAAACAGGGGGAAGTGCAGACTTCCTGAAAGATAGTTCATAAACTCGAAACTTGGTTTTAAGTACATCTAAAAGGAACTAAACTTGAGAATAGTCCAAGGTGTATCAATAAGTTTGGTTTGAGTAGAAATACTCTTGAGATTAAGATTATGCAGCTGTTTGATTATAGGTTAAATTCTTTTTTTATTAATTGCATCATAATTTCCTCCCCCAGCCCCAAACTCCAACCACCTTTAGAAAATAATAAAGAAAAAAGGCAGTAGGGGAAATAATACATAAGTTGAGACACTGGTCAGAAAAGGTAATTTGAAAATACCTCTAACTTCTGCCTTTAATGCTTTGCAACCAGGAGCTAACAGCCATTGTCTCAACCCCTCTAGGGAGTGGGAATCTAATACAATTCTTCAGTGGGACACAGTAAAAGAACATGCACAGGCATAGAGAAAGCTCCCTATTGAGATTTAATTGCATACATAACTGGTGTCCTTCCAAGTGTGAAACTGCTGTAACCAGCACATCAAACGGTATAATGCTTACTGAGTAGACTTATATAGAAAATACATTGAAAAATCAAAATTAACTGAGTGTTGTTGCATGTTATTAACTAGAGAAATACATGAACACCAAACAAATTCATTTCTTGGCTCTTAAATTCTTAGGCCCAACATTCTCCCTCAGATATCCTTATGCAATGTGTTTGCAATGAAGAAGTTTCGATCTGGAAACATGTACTAAGGGTGGGATTACTGATTCTGTCCTTGTATTTAGGACTTTAAGGAATATCTCATTATTCTAGTACTTTCATTTGCATGCTTTCTTAACAAGTCCTAAATAAACTTAACTCAGTGGGAAGATAGTTATCTTAAAAAACTTCCTACACACACACACACACACACACACACACACACACACCACTACCACCACCACCACCACCACCACCACCAGCAGCAGCAGTAGCAGCAGAAACAGCAAAGTTCATAAGATAAATAAAGAATGATGAGAGCAACATCCCAACTACCGAAATCCATACTCAGCTGGGATCATGCAAACTAAACGCTTCATAGTGATTCAATCATAACGATATAAACAGTGTCAATAATTTCAATCCTTTTGAAACACTAGATGTACATATTTTGACAGGAATTTCTTCCAAACATAAGAAAATGATTAAGAGAGGGAGATTGGCCATTGTGAGAGGTTGGAACTTGTGGACTCACCAAAGTTTACATCTACCAATTTACAAAAAATAAATAAATAAATAAATAGATAAATAAAAAGAAAGAAAGAATAACCTAAATTGAAAGTCATTTTCTTTCTTTAAAATGTTTGTGAAATCGGGCTTAGTGCATTTCTAGCTGCTCCTCAATCATTACCAAGGCTCACTTCTCTCTGCAGACCTTGTGCTGAGGAAAGAGCACATGTAAGCCACCATACTTGATGTGCTTAGGAGAATGCAAAGGATTCAGTTTTTCAAAGTCACCCAAGTTCATGCAAAAGGAAATAAATGCACAAAGGGCTTGGGCTCCTGTCACCTCTTTTAATCCTCTTGGCTTCCACTGTCTAATTCAGAAGTCAACATGGCTCTGAACAGTTCATCTCTTATTTCATGCTGTGAATCATACCATACAGCTAGTTTTAAGTGGCTTTTCATGAGTGTGTGTGTGTGTGTGTGTGTGTGTGTGTGTGTGTGTGTGTGTGATTTATTCCTTAATCTGGGAATCCTAGGACCTAAAACAAAAGTGGGCACGAAACTATGTAGCAGGAAAAATGCAGAGAGTCTCTCAGGACAGCCACAGCCTGATCATTTTCTAACTCTCCCTCTTGTTTCTTTAAATATTTATCAGCTAACAATCACATGTGTTCTCCAACAGTCTCCAACAATAACAAACTTCCCCAGAGAAATAGATAAGCAGTTTCTATGTCAAAATAAGCAAATAACGCAAGTTCATTTGGGGGACTTGGCAACAGCTTCTGTTCAATGCTCAGACTTAGTATTCCAACCCCAACACTGTGTTACGAAACATATGGTCATGCTATCCTGTTTTAGTGCTATTTCTCCTTTAGGAAAAAAGGAAGAAGGAAGAACGGAAGGGAGGGAGGGAGAAAGGAGGGAGGGGAAGAGGGAATAAGCTGTTTTCATATGCCTGGCTCCTTCCAGTAAGTTCAAGTTTGCATGCCTTCCCTAAGTGCTCACTGCACAGGGTTAAGAGACCTGCTGCTCACTCTGCTTCACTGCACTCTGGAACAAGAACCTTTCATACAGAGTAAAATTCTTTTCCATTGGACACATTTCAAGATAGAAATTTACGAGAAGTTGTCTGGTATGGTTTAGAATTCACCACTGAATCAGCCCACTAACTTTGCAAGGATTTTATTTTTATGTTTGCAGAGAGCTCTTACAGAAGCCACAATCCACGTAGGCTTTAATCAGGCCTTCAGGAAAAGCCCTGCTTGCAAGTGTCTTACCTTGGTATATTGGATCTTCAAGTTTGCCAGCGGGGCAGGGACTTCAGGTTGAGCAGGGGAAGACATTGCTGGTTTAGCTCCTGGAACACAGGTGACAGGCTCAGCAATTTGGTTCTGATAGAGCCCTTTTTTCCTTTTTATCTGCTTGCACTAGGGGTCATTTGCATATTGGGATATGATTGGATGGGCAGACTCAGGGCAGGGCAGAAAGAACACTAATGTCTTCTAACACCTAGGGTTGTGAGCCTTTGCCTTTAAACATAAATCCTTAAGGAACCTGCACTTAAGCCCTGAAGTTCCATCTGGAGACTGCTCACTATTTACAGATGAATTAGTTTACAAAGCCAAACCTGTGCTGATTGTGTGTGTGCAGCTGGAAGCCAGTTATGATTTTTTTCTTGCCTGCTCATACTTTGTTATGCTACTATGTAACACTTCCTTCTGTAACAGACTAGGAATCAGAGATTTTACACAGAAGAAGAGTCGAAAACACCCTCTGTTCTCCACAGGATCTGTGTAGTAGAGGACCATGAATCTTCAGGACATGGCTGCAAAAGATTCCATTCTTGTCCCAGATTAGGGTGCTGTTAGGGAGAAACACCCACTCTCTAGACTTTGTCTTCTCCAGCTTAAAGAAATTCAGCAACCTCATGTGATCTCAGAATCTTCAAATTGGCTATGTCTTTTGTTTGGGAACAGAAAACTGTGTGGGACTTTTCAGTTAGTGTTCCCTGTCACTCACAGAACAGACCCTCAAAACATAATGTCCAAGTCATCTGTGAAAATTCATTTAAAGAGAAAGGAATCTCTTATTTGGGAAAAGTCTACGCTTATAAATCATTACTCTAAGCAGTGTAGCCGGAAAAGAATGTAAATATCACCCCTTAAGAGATTAAACTCTGAATGTTGTGAGCCTGGGACTTTGTAAAGGGCAATTTTGACCTTGAGAGTTTTCCTTTCGAATACAATGCTTCTCTGTGTTGAGCCTGCAGCACAAGATATGGAAAGAACAAGGTAACATTCCTTGGATGCTCTGGTTACTAAGAATTAGCAGAAACTTCTTTGTAGTAAAGTTGCCATCTCCCCTGCCCTGCATGGGGATTTCACTAGGAGCACGAACAAGAGTTTGGGAACCTGTTTCTTCACAAAATGAGAATCTCGGGTCAGAGAAAGAGAAACTCTGACCCGAGCTTCTCATTTTGTAAACACAGAAAGGAACACAGTTTGTGATCATAGAGTTCACAGTATAAGGCTGAAATATTACTCGAGGCAAAGCTTTCCCAGTTATTTCTGTTATTTTATGCTTCCAACTCTGCCTTGATAACCATCAGATGATCCCCACATAAGCTCAAGGTCAGTTTGGGATCTCCGTGGAGGTAGTTATATATCCCGAAATTATGTTTAGCCTGTTATTCATCCTAGCAGGGATTGGCAAACTTTTTCGCATGAAACAGACAGGAAATACTTTCAACTTTCTGAGACATACCAACTCTGTTTTAATATGTTCTATGCTTATTAAAATAATTAACCAGTAACAGACAAATAAATGCACATAAAAAATGGAATTGTGTAAAAGTAGGAGGCAAGCCAGATGCATGACTCTGGGCACTTCCCTAGAATCAGCAGTCCTTAGTCTACACATCTGCGCACTTCCCTAGAATCAGCAGTCCTTACATAGTCTACACATCTTGTTTGAAGCTGGGTAAGAACTTCTGTGTTCTCTAAATGTTATCTATCTATCTGTCTACCTATGAATCTATCTCTCCCCTCTCCCTCTCTCAGCTTTTCCTTCTTCCTCTCTCTCTTCTTCCCCTCTCCCTCTCCTTTCCTCTCTTGCTCTTTCTCTACCCTCTTGTTTTTCTCTCTCTTTTCTTGCCCTCTCTCTCTCTTCTCTCTCTCAATCTATCTCTTGCTCTTTCTCCCTCCCTCCTTCCCTCCCCCTTTCTCCTTATATTATTTTTTGAAAAACTGAACTGTTTTCTCTTTCATGAACGTTTCTGAATTTAAATGCACAATTGCTCAACAGCTGTTACATAACACACAGAGTGGTGCTGAGGCCAGTGCCCAAACAGCTGTGTTTTGCAGAGTCACAGTTGTTTGTAGATTCAAAACTGGTTCATTTGGTGTCTAGAAGGGAAAAAACACAGGCTGTGCAACATACTTGACATGCCATTCACCTTACTCTCTGAATGGGCAACATCATTCATTGTATTTTCTTGGATAATTACATAATAACATGCTCTTCAAATCAACCATTGTGTGTGTAACTAAAGGACACTTTGGAGTCAGTTACCATGCCTGCCTATTTTGTTTTCCAAGCATTTACTAAGCAGGGTATATGCACCAGTCATTCTTCAATCTTCAAAAAAGATCAGCTGAGCTCGGTTTTTTTTTCCCCTGGAAACCACAAGTCTGATAGATGTAGCTTGGAAGCTTAGTATTTAGAAAAGTTTATTCCTCAGAATGGATAAACATGTAAAAGACTTTTTCCTCCCCCTCTTTCCCTTACAGGGGAAAAACTAGCTTTGGTATGATGATGGGCACCAGGTAGGCCTACTTCTTGACTAGAGTCACTGTTGGGTATTCTCAACATATACCAGAGTTAGCAATTCAATATGGGTTCCTCAGCAGACAATATTTCATCATTTCCTTCTCTATGACAAGCTAAATTGCTCTATCATGTCCACCTACATACAGACAGAGGGAGAGAAAAAGAAATTGAGGTAATAGTTATGTGATTGCCTCCAAATCTTCACATGACTTTTTTGGTTCAGTTTTAGCTTTATTTTTAAATTAAAATTATGCCCCAGTGTGGGAGGAAGGTATGTGCACATGAGCACAGGTCCCTGTAGGAGATCCGAAAAGAGTGAGAAATCTCTCAGTGCTGGAGGTTCACGTGGCCGTGAGATGCCTGATATGGTAGCTGGGATTAGATATCATGTCTCTATATGAGGAGTGTTTACTGTTAGCCAGTAAGCCATCTCTCCAGCCAATGAAGTCTGTTCTTTCCCCTAATAAATGTACAAATTGCAACATCTGCCATCACCAAAACCAATCTCATCAGACTATATATGTGTCCATGGCTCCATTCAAGAAGAAACCTTCTACTAATATGAATAATTCACATTAAAATAAGATTAGGTAACCAAAATGAACTGCATGGTGAGGTGAAAGTTTCCACAACGCATTGAACGTTTGTTTCCCCAATGCACACACTGGAATCCTAACCCAGTAGCAATGTGTGTGTTTGGGATATCTGGGCCATAAAAAGGGGAAGCCATTTGTGGTGCCAGGAATTGATCCCAGAGCCTCATGCATGCTAAGGGAAGACTCTATCAGCAGAACACAATCCCTGCTTCTCCTGCTGATTTCTTCAATTTGAAGATCTAAGGGGAAATCAGGAGTCTGCTACCCATAAAGAAGTTAGTGCTCATACAGCTTGACAGTGCCAAACTCTGATAGAGGACATCTGACCTCCAGACCTTGGAGAAATATTTTTGTTTGCTTGTTTACAAGGAAACCAAATTTCAGAATTTTGTTGCAGCAACCTAAAGAGACTAGGATGACTTTTTTTTCCTTTCTCACATTGTTTGATTTCAAGATCCAGGATGCTTCATGTGAGTTCAGAGTCTTTCTCAGATAGTTTGTGAGTCTCATGACCCACTCCTTCAGCCATTGCTGCCTTCAGCATGGCTAAATTAGCCCATAGTAGGTATGCCTTCACATTTTGATGAGTATACTTTTGTCTGATGCAACAATATTCTTGCTCATATTGAGGATTTAGGTTTAAAGAATTGTAAGGAGTAGTCCTTGCTTGTTCATGATTGATAAGCTGATGCTAAAAAGCCTGTACTAAGTAAAATGCACTTGTGGGATAATTCCTGTTCACTTGCTATTCTCCATTTAGCCATATTTCATCACCTCTTATTTCTCTGGTTCTTCACATGCCATATCATTGCTTTCTGTTTATTTCATGCAGCTAAGATATGGCCTATATCCCCAGCATCTGATGCAATTGGAGTACTTACTGCATAGTAGGTTCTCTAAAATTAACTGTGGATTAAAGACTTTAGAAGATAATTGTGTGAGCTTAAAACATTTTTACTAAACCTTATGGGCCGTGACAACCAAGATCAGTATTTTGTTCACATTTTCCACTTTTGTTCCTAACAGTAGAGAGAGAGAAAATAAAAACACTGTACTTGCCGGGCATTGGTGGCGCACGCCTTTAATCCCAGCACTCGGGAGGCAGAGGCAGGTGGATTTCTGTGAGTTCGAGGCCAGCCTGGTCTACAGAGCGAGTTCCAGGACAGCCTCCAAAGCCACAGAGAAACCCTGTCTCGAAAAAACAAAACAAAAAACAAACAAACAAACAAAAAAACCACTGTACTTACTTGTGAGGTCATCTTCTGTGGACTACTTTTTTTTTTTTTTTTTCTGTAACCTGCAAGCAGAAACAAACTCTTTCCTTCTTCGTTGCTTTAGATCAGAGTGTTTTCTTGAGTTGCTTTAGGTCAGAATGTTTTTTTTTTATTAATATTTTTTATTTTCCATTTTAAATTTAGATAAGAAACAAGGTTGCTTCACAAGTCAGTACGAGGTCCCTCTCCCTTTCCCTCCCCTCCTCCCGTGCCCTCCCCGCATCCCCCCCCCCCCCCCGTTATCCCCTCATTCCCCCAGGGAGGGTGAGGCCCTCCACGGGGGTGTCCATAGTCTGTCATTTCATATAGGGCAGGGCCTAGACCCTTTCCCAAGAGTTCAGGGTGAGAGTGCACCTCACATTGTTCTATGGGAGTCCAAAGTCCGTGTGTATACTTGGTATGGGTACTGATCTGCTGCCCAAGGCTCAATAGATTACCTAGGCCTCCTCACTGACACCCAGATTCAGGGGGTCTTGATCAGTCCCATGCTGATGCCTGGGATTCTAGAGTTAACCTTTGTCTGGTCAGCTGTTTCTGGGGGTTAAACCAGCCCAGTCTTAATCCCTTTGATCATCAGTCCTCCCTCTCTGATACTGGCTTTCTTGAGTTCAGCTCAGTACTTAACCAGCCACTAAATGTAGTTTCTGTTTCCCAGACTCTCTGGCCATAGGATTGTAGGCTGGCACTCCCCAGATCTATGTCTAAAATCCATATATGAGAGAGTACATGCCATGTTTCTCTTTTTGTGACTGGGTTACCTCACTCAGGATGGTTTCTTCTAGTGTCATCCATTTGCCTGCGAATCTCATGATTCCGTTATTTTTTTCTGCTGAATAGTACTCCATTGTGTAGATGTACCACATTTTCTCTATCCACTCTTCGGGTGAGGGACATCTAGATTGCTTCCAAGTTCTGGCTATTACAAATAAAGCTGCTATGAACATAGTGGAACAGACATCTTTGTTATATGAATGGGCATCTTTTGGATATATGCCTAAGAGTGCAGTTGCTGGGTCTTGTGGTAGGTTTATTCCCATTTTTCTGAGGAATCTCCATACTGTGGACTACTTTTAAGATATTTTGTAGCTGCCCTGCTCTATATTTTCCACATTTGTCTTATGGATAGATTACACTTCAACATGTTTGTCATTTTACTAGAAATAATTCTCATTATCCACTTTTGCACTCATAAAATTAAATAACATTAATTCAGTCATTTGAATGAAATAATGACTTAAAATGTTGTCAGCATTGAGTCAGAACTGAGATTGCATTACATGGGGGGAATGGTGGTCTTTAACTTCCTTTATGATTTTCCAAACTCTGTAATACTTAAGTGGGCCATTTATAGAATCATTAGGCTACAGCTCAATAAGTAGCTATAAAATGAAAAAAAGAAAATAACCACCACGTGAACAAAGAACCCTGGCTGAACTTCACAGCTTGCTGGGCCCTCACTCGGGAATCACCAATCCTTTTCTATTCTCTCAAATTATCTCTACTCTAGCATGACCCCAATCATTGCATGTTGACAAAGCAATCTGAATGCATGCGGCATTGTTCAATGCTATGCTGGAGCATGGTTTTCCTACTAAGCAATAATTCAGGCTGTCATGCATTTCAAAGGTCATGCAGTCAGCTTCCTACCCCTTCCTTTCACAAAGTGCTATGTCATCATGAAGCCTGATCACTGAAGAACTCATCCTCAGATTCACTGTCCACAGAACTAGAAAGTAAAAATCACCAGTTTCCTAAGTCTTGACTCTGACTGAAACAGAGATTGTTCAAGGAAAGCTGAAAGCTGCTTGGTACTAAATGTTTTTAACAGGGCAACAACAAGTGTTCTGTGCACACAGATATGACTATGGGCATGAACTCTCCACATTGCACTAAGCAGAGTATCCTAGTAGCTGTTATTTCATCATTTACATAAGTATTATTTACTTTTCTTATGCTGTGACAAGACCCCTGACAGGAGCACCTGGAGGGAGAAGGGGTTATTTTGATTCCAGTTTCCTTCACATAAAGGAAGCAGAGAGTGATGAATTTTGCTTCTCTGCCTCTGACTCTGGGTACCCAGCCCTTGGAACATTGCCACACACATTCAGGGTGTTTTTCTAACCTCAATTAGTCTAATTTAGGAATTTCCACACAGGCATGCCCAAAGATTTGTTTGCATGTTAGTTTCAAATTTTCTTTGGTTGACAATCAAAACAAATTGTCGTATTATGTACATTAGTTTAAAACTATAAGGGGGAAAACTTACATTAGTGCTTAATTTGGTCTTCCTAGATGTATAATTGAATTCTGATTATAGCAAACACATACTTAAAGACCATGTATGAAGTCCATAGAACACATTCATTGGAGATCTGAAAAGACAAGCCCATCAGCTCAAACTGTTTACAATTGGAAGCACACAGTAATAAACAACTTCCCTCCTCTATTATTCAGCCCCATATTTTCTACCTTTATTAGGTGTGTCCCAGAACCATAGCTGCTGATTTGAACTGGGATACTACCTACTTGAGCCAGAATTTTGAGCAACTAACAGGTTAGGAACATATCACCTGTAGTCGTGTTATCAACATATACAATCAGGGCACTGCGATTTAACGTAATGATGTTGAACATATTCATGATATCTGCATTTATGTCATTAGTTTTAAAATGTCTTTTTGTAATTGAAGCAGTATGGGGCAAAACTTTAATATGCCTCTAGAATTTTTCAAAATAGCTGGCTTGCAAACATGTGGTAGGCTCAGTTTTATTTTTATGCTTTTAACTTACTTTTCACTAAGATTATTATTACTATTACTATATCAATATTTACTATTATGCTTGATTTAACATGTATATATGGATGTGGATACAAATATCTTAGAGTTATTTTTGGATTATAATTATGGCATTAATAGATAGGGCTTAATGTCTTTCTACTGGCATTTGCCCTGTACTGGCCTCTTTTGAAAAAAATAAATCTGTTTTTCAAGGTCCTTTGCTTACTTAGGCCTGAAATATTGACATTTAAGAGTCCTTTCTAGGATTTGTGACTAAAGAAAAATAAAAAGAAAGAAAAACATGTCATTTTCAAATTAATTTTTTTTCTATACTGCCTAGAGGGTTACAGTAGGTAGCAGGCAGACAGTAAACTTGGTTGGCTTCAATGCATAGTAAGTATAAATTAAATTTAGATTTGCTTTTCAATATATTTGAGTCAATAGGTTATATATTTACCTTTGGTTTAGAAGATGAGACCATTCAAGCAGACAGCACTTTTTAATTATTATGTTTACTACAGAAGTAAACACATGCCCCCCAAAGAATTAAGAGCAGCAGCAAATAAGGGCAGATATGCCAGGCTTCTTCTTGCTTTTGGTTTCCTTGTGGACCAAGTGAGAAATCAATGATTTCTTAAAAAGGTAGCTTCTCCAAAGGATTACCAACCTAAAAATCCACACCTTCAGAGAATCTAAGAAACAAGGAGGACCCTAAGAGAGACATACATGGTCTAGCAGAGAGAGGAAAGGGACAGGATCTCCTGAGCTAATTGGGAGCATGGGGGAGGGGAGAGGGAGTTAGGAGAAAGAGCACCGGGGTAGGAGACATGAGGGAGCAGAAATATTGAGTCAGGGGAAGAATAGAAGAGAGCAAGAAAAAAAGATATCATAATAGAGAGAGCCATTATAGGCTTAAAGAGAAATCTGGCACTAGGGAAATATCCAGAGATCTACAAGGATGACCCCAACTAACAATCTAAGCAATAGTGGAGAGGCTTCCTTAAATGCCCTTCTCCGATAATGAGATTGATGACTATATTACATACGATCTAGAGCCTTCATCTGGTACCTGATGGAAGTAGAAGCAGACACCCACAGCTAAACACTGAGCTGAACTTCTGGAATCCAGTTGCAGAGACGGAGGAGTGATGAGCAAAGGGATCAAACCAGGCTGGAGAAACCCACAGAAACAGCTGACCTGAACAAGGGGGAGCTCATGGAACCCAGACTGATAGCTGGGAAACCAGCATAGGACTAACCCAGACCCCTTGAACAGGGATGTCAGTTTGGAGGACAGGGAAATCTGGGAGTGGATCAGTATTTATCTCTAGTACATTGGAAGCCCACTCCACATAGAGAGATACTTTCTCAGCCTAGACAGATGGAGGAGAGCCTAGACCATGCTCCAAATGATATGACAGACTTGGAAGATCTCCCATGGAAGGCCTCACCCTCCTTGGGAAGCAGAAAGGAGGTGGGATAGAGGGTCTAGAGGGTCGGTGGAGGGTAGGGAATAAGGGGAGAGAGAGGGAAATGGGATTAACATGTAAAACAAGCTTGTTTATAATTTAAATAAAATAAGAATACAAAAAATAGCACTAAAAAGGGTAGTTTTTCGGTGTTTATTGTTGCAATCAGACTTAAGTTATTGATGAATATTTAATGGAACATTTTTGGAAAGAGAAAACAGAAATGTTTCCAGGACTATGAACATGTTCTGTTTATGTTTTAAATGTCTCAGTATGTGTGTTCTAATATCCTCACTTTTGCTTTTGTTAAAAAAATGTTCTCTAAGTTTTGTTAAGAAAAATGAGACAGGAGATAACAATAAAATGATAAAAACAAGACTTATATAACTATAGATATAAGACATGTGTTTGGTAAAGAGAAAAAGGAAAAAAAAGAAAAATTCTGGATGGGAAAGGTTTTTAGACTGTAATTTCGTTTTGTTCTAAAAGTAAATGATTGTTTCAAAATGGAAATAACAGAGAAGGACAAAACTAGAAGGTTAACATATGTCATATGAAGATTTGTAAAAGTTAAACCCGAAAGAAACATGGTGTGGCTATGACTGAGTTGGATGTAACGAAAGGTTATTCCAAATTCCTAAGGCCAAAATTCAACAGACCAGGGTAGGACTGAAGCCTAACTCTGTTTACAACAAGTTTCTCTAAGCACTGATCTAATCTTAGCAATGTTTACAGAATAATGTCCTTGAAGAACAAGGATTTAATGTCTCATCTCTTTACCAAATGGACATTTAAACCAAGTGATTGGCTTTTATTCAGGTGCAGACTGTTTGATTTTTCACTGGTTAGAGCTGCCACCCTATCAGCAAGAAAGTTTCTATTAGAAAGAATTATTTCTACGTTGGGCATTTCTTAAGATTATATAATAAACATCAAGCTTACTTCAGTAGCTAAATATTAATTTATTATATTGTTATTGACAATTTTTATAAATAATGCATCCTGATTATGATTTCCTGCCCCCAGCTCCCAGATCCTCTCCACCATCAGACCCACCCAACTCCACCATTTTTCTTTCTCTCTCTCTTTAGAATGCAAACAGGCAAACAAAAAATAAAGGAAAAAGAAAAAAGAGCAGAAGAAACACAACACATGCATATGCACACAAATAAAACTCATGAGAATACAAAATTGGAAACTATAACAAAGTAGCAAAAGTCCAGTAAGATAAACAAACAACAGCAAAAAATCCAAACAATACAATGTGAGACCGACCATCTGCAAAAGAATGACTGACTTAATATTGCATTGGCCTTACTGCTGGACATGGGACCTGACCTGAAGTCTGCTTTGTATACCCGTTGAAACTCCATTGTAGAAAACTAATTTTTCCTTTGCAGGCAGTTGTGAATTGGCAATACCTTCTTGGTAGGGATAGGAGTTTGTGTCCAGTCACCTCTCTCATCTCTGAGAATCATCTGGTATGAACCTCTGTAGGCCTTGGGTATGCTGTCACAGTCTCTGTGAGTTCATGTATACATCGATCTTGCTGTATCTGGAAGACAGTTTCCTTGTTGTTATCCATCCTCTCTGGCTCTTACAATCTTTCTTCCTCCTCTTCCACAGAACTTCCTGAAACCTGAGGGAAGGGGTTTGATGAAGAGATCCCATTTGGGAGTGAATGTTCCAAACATTTCTTCCTCTCCGTGTGTTGACTTATAGTGGGTCTTTATTCTAGGTCCCACCCACTGGTGACGAATGAGGTCTGATCTATAAGTATAGCAAATATTTAAACCTGCTTGTAAAATCTGCCTTTTCATTCTCTTGATTGGTGGTTAAATGATCAAATATTATATACTTTTTAAAAGTAAAAAGTGAATAAATAAGTTCCTAAGCCAAAAACAATTACATTAATTCTTCTAAATCTAAGATCTGCCCCTTTTTGAAAAAAATATGTTTATATATAATAATTACTCAGTATTAGGTAAATTGAGGAGGGAACTGTATGAACAATCTCTGTTAAAAGGAACCATTACACACTTTAAAAAATAACTAAAAATTCAGAATTGATTATAGACGTTTTCTACAATGAGCTCCTGGGAAAACACACAAACAAACAATCTAACCCCAACAAAAAGTGAATAAAAAGCAACAAAAAGCTCCTCCAACAACAAACATAAAAAAACCCGTGTCAATGCCTCCTTTCAGCTTCAGTGCAAAGAATTCTACCAAGTACTTTAAAGAAGCTTCTGTGCTATAAAACTTCAGTGGATAAACCAGTAAGTCCATACTTCTTACCCTGAGCTCACACCAGCTTCCAAGGACACATTCCCAGACTTCAGAACATCTTGATGACATCCATCCTTGGATACAATTGAGTACCCCAAGACATAACTCAAAACCCTCTGCCACAATTTCTGCTAATTCTTTCTCTTCTATAGTTCTTAAATCCTGTCATATTTAGGAATTACTGTATATGATACTGGAATTTCCAAATCATGAAAATAATGATTGTCTTGATTTCAGTGAACTGCAATTGAGGGAGGGGGTTTACCTCTACTTCAAGTTCAAATTCCCAGTGCCCAAAGCAATAACACTTGTTTCTACTGAGAAAATACTAACTGAATCAAACAAAATAAATTAGTATGTTGCCATTGTTACCCAGCATACTGAAGTCTCTGGGAAGCCTATAACATACTTAGATCAATGTATAACTCTGACTCCAGCGATTCTTTGAATCTTTAAATTCCAATTATACAAAAAACATTCTACCTGTGATGACAGTACCCAGGACATTTATACCTTAACAGCTAGTGTTTCCTGGTTAAATAAGTCTTTCTTTTTTGCCTGTTATTTACTTTCCTTATGATTGTCTACTCAGTCCTTTCTGTCTACTCAGCTTAGGATTATAGGGGCAACTCTTCTGACACTGAAGTGCATAAGACAACATCTGGTCTTCAAATGCACAGGGAGAACAGTGGACTGAGGTTCCCAGAAACCTTGTCTACATTAAAGATGCTGCAAGGCCACCCAAATTCCTAGAGCTTCATAATTTTAGAGAGTTGGAATGTTGCAGATGCAGAGCCAAATTATCTTCCTCTGACTTTTGTGTTTAATAGCCATTTATGGTCTCCTCAGTGTTTGCTGTTTCAGAGAAAATCTTTCAGAATGTATTAACTTAGAAGACCAGTAGTTTTTACCAGCCTCAAAACTAAGAATGCCATCATCAAGAATAGAATCAAAGATCCACAAAAAAGATTTCCCTGCTTGCTGACTCCCACCTACCTGCTGTTCCCATCAAGATATCAGAAAAGTGCCTTAAAACTGACATAAGGTTTCAGTTCTATAAATTTAATACATGATGGTGCAATGTGAATCTGTGTTCCTGCGCCAGGAACATGCCTATTTGGCTCAAGAGTAATCTCTTGTGTTCTGCTGGAGGTGATAGTTATGTACCATGTCAACACAGTTATTTGCTAATATCTAAATATTTGTGTTCAAATACAGGTGAGCTTTCTATCTACCCTTTGGAACAAAAGGCAATTCAGCAGCTAGGCTTCTCAAAAATCCTGCCGTTCCAGTTGCAACATAAACTCATATTTATTTTATTGCAGAAGTAAAATATAACACATGATATTTGTGAAAGCTATTAGCTATAAAAACAATCTTTGTATTTACACTTGCTTATTTAAATGTGTTCCCACGTTTGAAAATTTTTAGCCATATGTAGATCTGTGGCCACAACTCCAATGGCCTTCCAGGTTGTGGTTTTACATGTTACCTGGATGTTGGCTTCCTAAGTGCAACATCACACCTAGTCTTGTAGCTGCATTTGCAAGCTTGTGAACTATTTATTTATTTATGTACTTATTTATTTGTTTGTTTATGTACTTATTTTGTGCTCTATACACCCTCTTGCTCGTTAGGGACATTTACCCAAGAACCCAGATTTTTGTGTCAGAAGAGGCTGAAGAGTGAATTTTAGCTTGTTTAGGACATTGAGATCACTGAGCAAAAGAGAAACAGCATATTCTCAGCCTCTAGGCTTGGTTAGAGCTCAGGTATGAGGTTTCATCTGAAGCATCTTGCGTAGGTGGAACCTGCAGCAACAGCTCTTGGCCCATTTCCTCATGGCACGGCCAACCACTGAGGGCAAAGCAGAGACTCTCAACCTGGCAACCACCTTCACATCAGCTGGAAATCTTTCCAACACAAAGCTGCTAAGTCAGAAACTTTGGGGTAGGGCCAAGTCACCTGCAAAATAGCAAGTGCTCCTGAGGAATCTGGTTGAGAGCTACAGCAAGGCCATACTGCCAAGGATTTTTGTTCATCTAGTCTGCTTTCACTAATTCACCTTCTTGTTTACTCTGCATTCCCACATCCTTAAAACAACCTTAATTGCTCTGGCCTGGTTTTCCTTAATTTCTCCTTGTTTGTGATGGTCACACCAAAGCAACCAAACTTCAGCATTTCTGAAATTTTTGGTCTTCCTTCTCTGTCTCTGTCTCTGTCTCTGTCTCTCTGTCTCTGTCTCTGTCTCTGTCTCTCTCTGTCTCTGTCTCTGTCTCTGTCTCTCTCTGTCTCTGTCTCTGTCTCTCTCTCTCTCTCTTGCTTTTTTTACCCCTGTAAAACAATTTTATTTAATGAACAACAAGAACAAAAAAACCTGGTTACTTTTAACTAGTGTTTTGTTTTAAGTCTGGGTTTAAAGAACACATCATTGGAGTACCCTGAGTCTGAGTTGGGTTTCTGCCTTTACTGCATAATTATATTTAACTTATGATTAATATATATTCAGTATACATTTATATCTACAATGAGTGCTGATGCACTTCTTGCTTTTTGTTTGGCTTTGATAAGTTAGGATTAGATTCCAGTGCTCAAAAAAAAACCACTTCAGGTGGAAATGAGAGGTTGTTTTTGTTGTGGATTATTATTATTATTATTATTATTTATTATCCTCTCAGACAAAGTCGACCTTGACTCTGGAAACTAGAGTGTCAGAGTAAACTTATTAAAGAACTTCTAACGTGGTGTCCCTGCATTTCTGAAATACACTTGCCTCTTGACCTCTTGATAAGCAAAGAGTGCTACACCTCGTATGACATCAAGTATTACAGTATTCAGAATGGGGAATAGAAAGGAAGAAAATGGTTAACTATGTGTTGAAGCTTCCTGGAACTTGGAGTTAGTAGACAAGAATCCACTTACATGTCTACATCTAATGCCAAGGAAAAATTAAAACTGTCCACTGCCCCTAAGCTTAAGGCTCTTACACATGGAATTATCAAGATCGGCAGAAAAAAAAAAGAGGTTACTGGAGAGGCGGCCATCGAGTCTTGCTCTGTACTAATCCTCACTCATGCCTATGGCTTATGCACAGTCCCCCCCACCCACTCCGTGTGTGTGTATGTGTGTGTGTGTGTGCGTGTGTGTGCGCACGCACACACACACGCACGCACACACATGTGTTCTGATGTTCTAGCTCTAGCTAGTGGGTTTGCATGCAGAAGCCAGAGAAGGATATAGACTGTCATCCTGTATCACTTCCTTCTGTGTCCCTTCTCTTGCTTGTAAGAAATGCATTTCTACCTACAGTCATACCACCCTGAATGTGTCCAGTCTTGTCTGATCTTGGCAGCTAAGCAAGGCCAGGCCTCATTAGTACTTGGATGGAAAGAAATACATCTTAATGATTGACCTAAACATTTGACAAGCTCATAAGAAGGTTTAAATTCCATTACTATTCTTTTCAAAGAATATAAATGATTTTAACCCTTAGCTTGGATGTTCTTCATGTTAGAGTTGCCACTGCAAATTTTTGTTGCACTTTGAATTAATAGTACTTTTTAGATTATTACAAAATGTATCAGTATTATTCAGTTATTTACTATTTGTCTGACTTACACATTAAGCATTTCATGCATGAGTATGTTTTTATCAGTCTGTTACCTCTCTACCTCCTTCAATGCCCCTCCATTTCCACTCAAATCCACGATCTCTTCTCATATACTATATATGTATATGCACTGCTCATTTGCATATTTACTCAGGGCTGACTAGTTGGGATTAGATGCTTGTTGATGGAGATAATTGATTCTTCCTCTCTTGTCACCCATTGATAGCCTTGGCTCTTTATCTAGCAGAGGGGCCTTGTGAAATTTTTTCCATTTCCATTAGCATGTTTACTAGTATTGTCATTTTGCAGGTATTGTTTAGGCAACCATATTGTTGAGACTACACTGGTGCAGCTTCCCTGTAATGTCTAGAAGCAGATGTCCTGGTCCTATGACTCTTTCAGTCTTTCTGACTCCTATTCTATAATGTTATCTGAGCTTTAGGTATAGAGATTCCATTGTAGATTAATCAAATGGGGTTGGGCACCCCATGGTCTGCTGTTTTCTTCATTTTGACTCCTTTTAGAGTTCTGAAATAGTCTCCATATACTGCAAAAAAAAGTTTCTTTGATGAGAAATAAGAGATACACTCATCTCTGGGGAAAAGTATGTAGAATTTAGTTATAATTATATTGCTTTATGAAAATGATAACAGTTC